GCAGTTTCCATGCAATTGACCCTTTTGGATGTTCAAACAAGACACGATTTCCCGATGCCAGCTGTAACTCTATCAAATCACAACAGAAATTGATGAACAGCATGGTCAATCGTTGTTTTTCGGCAACATCCTCGGCTGACATGGACATGCGGTTCAGGTTGAACCATCCTCCCGCCCATGTGCATGGCGGACATAGGATCAACAGTTCAGGAGGCGTCTCTCTTACCAACCTTTTCATGTGCTCTCTATGCTCAGGTTTTCGGAAATCCCAACCAGTCAACAAATCTGCAGACAAACATTTGACACCCCGGACAGCGGCTTGCTTGGCAAATCTGGGAGGTGAAAACACTTCGATAACATCAAAAGGCCTAGGCTGATTACCCTTATTCCCAATGTGCTTAAGATGCTGAGACACTTGACGGGCTTGCTTGGGCGTCCATTGATTCAGCAGCACTTCGTGCTCGGTACCTGACGGCAGCACAGCATGGGGAGCCAACTGAAAAACGGTTTCACCTGTCCAGTATTTCCCGGTGGGTACAGGGACATGTTCATGAGCAACATGGGGGTCAGTCCAGAGATCGTGCATAGTTTGATATGCTTCATTGCTATCAACAACACGCCAGTGAGTAGTCCTATTGCTACTAAGGTCTTCAGGCAGAACAGGGCAATGTGTCTGGCATGGCGTGAAACGTTCAGATCTTGCACGCAAATGCACGCGAGCGATCTCTCTGGCAGCAGGTCTGATTACCCAGTAGTCCTTTGACTTACCCTTTTTACCCACTATGGTTATCCCATTATTCCTATTAGCCCCATATTCATTACCACTATCCCCCTCGGGCACTGGGCATGGCTCGTGGTTCACCGACGTCGAAGTCGGGGCATCAGGTTCATGGGCATTGGTGGGCAAGGCTTCACTGGTTGCATCTCCTACGGTCAGACTCTCTTGAGCCACAGGTGGACTCTCAACTGGTTGGAGCTTCTGTGGGAACTCCGTCACGGGAATCATGTACTGCCCTGCAGCATTGACTTGCATCGGAAGTCGGGTGCTTCCGTCGAACAAACGCAGCTCGTCACGGGAAAAATCCATTTCTGCCGATAACCTTTTCATAGCTGGTCGGGAGAGAAGCAGAGGTGCATCTCCCTTCACAATGGCTGCACGAATTGTTCCAGCACGTTCAGCTAGACATACAGGCATCTCTATGGACTCTTTGGACAGCTCGCTTGCACCGTTCCCAAAACGGAACATGTTCTCCTCAGTCAATGGCTGAGGTTGTTCAATTCCTGCATCGTTCCAGATCTTTCTGAAGGCTGACAGTGTGTTCGCTCCCACTATCGTTTTCCCACAACCAGAATCGAGCACAGCAAAACCTGGTGAAGATACCAGTGACACTGGGTACTCCATGTTCTCCAGCGATGGAGTGCGCAATTCAGCGTTCGATCTCAGGGCTCTCACTCGGGCCAGGAGGGTCTTGGGACCGTTGATCCATCCAGCTGCACACACAAAGTGTTCAGTGTTGACTGCTTGAACGCAGCCGGCTGCATGGGTGCTACCGGAGCTGGCAGCAGGCTTGGTTACATTGTTTCGGGGAGCTTTGCACTCTTTGGCCCAGTGTCCAATTTTCTTGCATCGATGGCACCGTGTTCTTTTCTTAAGCTCCTCGACCTCAATGCGATACGTCTTGCGCGTATCAGCTTCTTTGTGAAACTGTCGCGCCTGCCTCAACTTGTTCAGCTCCTGACGCTTCTCACGCCAACTAACAGCTAAGATATCAGCGATCTCATGTTCTTCATACGCCTCATCCTGATCTGCAGTGTCAATGTCATTTCCATGCTCCGTCAGGAACAGCTCAACGTCCTGGAAATCCACCTCGGCCGTGTTCATGGGAGGCTCCATGTCATCTTCCAGGATGGCTCGTGGTTCTACCACGTGAGCACCTACTGCAGACTTTCGCCGGGACACAGTGAAATCGGGGTAACATGACCTCATCGACTGAGCCATTGTATCGAATTTCAGTTCTCCTTGTGTCCTGGCCAGCACTACAGCACGCTGTTCCTCATTCATGCCACTGCATTGCAACAAGATCCATCCTCGAGCCTCATCAGGAAAGGATACGCCAGTCTTCCTCTTGCACCGGTCAAAGCACTCACGGGCTCTGCCGCACCGCTGGCGAACTGTTTCGCCATCTTTGGCTTTCAGGCCGAAGATCTCGGAGATGTGTTCTCCCATCTCATCACTGCGTTCCTTCTGAGGCCATCGCTCATCTAGCAGCTGGAAAATCACATCGTCTCCACCTTCCTTCTGATAGTCAACATCAGACAGGTGTTCCACCACCTCCAACGCCCTTCCCTGGAGGAGCGTCCATACGAAGCTGCCCCTTGCACTTTTGGGGAGCTTCTCCATCACATTCATCTTGTTGATGACCCATTGTTTCCACCGTTTGTACTCACGGTGGTCCACATCATCGCCCCCAGAAAAATATTTCAAGGAGGCGCCGATTTCCGCCATGGCACCTACCTAGGAGCCGCGGGAGCCAGGATTAACCTGGCTCCGCTACCAATATTGGTAGCACCCAATCACCGCGCGAACCCTGTCGCGCCCATCCTTTTGTTCCCTTGTGGCCGTAATTGTGCCTGCAGTTGACCCATGGATATGGACATGATGCGGATGGCACTGCATCAACATATATATAGAGTGTAGGGCCCCAGGTTTCCGCAAGGGGTGGGGTGGGGGGGGGGGTGTTAACGTCATGTTCATGGTACGTTGATGGGTGGGGTGGGGTGGGGCATGTTAACGTCATGTTCATGGTACGTTGATGGGTGGGGTGGGGTGGGGCATGGTCATGTTCATAACGTCATGGATTCATGGTCATGGTTCGGGTATGGTGGTTGTGGGGGGGCAGTTCAGGTAAGTTGGAAACTTTGAAAAAGAACATGTTGCAGCAGGCTGATGAAGTTGAAGCAACAACGAGCAAAAAAAAGGCTGACTATCAACATGTGCCGTTTCATGCTAACGTTAAAATTCACTGCAAATACCAATAAAAAAAGACACCTCTTCATATTACCCCACGTGCCGCAGTAAAAAATGACAATTCCGGATTAAAAAACACAAAGAAATTCATGAAAAGTGGTATTTTGTGTAGGAAAATATGAAAATCACAATTGACATGTACTGTGGATAACATGTCATAACATGCAACTTGCGCGGGCCTAAAAATTTAGCTCTGTAACATTGTCATTAAAGAAAGAAAAAGAACAATGTGCAAAATCCACATTTCGCTGTGGCGAAACAATGATTTTTGACATATGGATCAATGAGAACCAAGATACTCTGCGGAAACCTAGGGCCCCGAGCGTATATATATATACACATATATATATATATGTATATATATACGTATACATACTGCGAGGTATATATCATTTGTAGAAAACCCGATAACATGGGAAGATCATGGTAATTAGTAATGGGGGTCCCATCGGAGTCCCTAGAAATTCGGGGATGCCTCTGGGAATCTAAGAGTTTGCTATGGAAAACGACCATGTTTTTCAAGGTACCCTCCGGTAATTTAACATAGCTATTGAAAATTGCCATTTATAGCGAGTTTTCCCATTAAAAATTGTGATGTTCCATAGTTATGTTAGTTTGCCAGAGGGTAAATCATCTACAAACGGGCCAGTTTCCATAGTGTTTTCTTAGATTACCAGGGGGAATCTATAGCCAAACTTATCCAACAATGGAACCAACAAAAATTGGGAGCATGATTTTGATTTATATTGGTTTATAACATTTTACAACCACATATTATGGAAATGGATGGATACACTTGGATGGGCAATGGGAAATTGATGGTTTTCAATGGATGGTGAAATGGATGGATATAGTTGGTTGATCTGAACTGAGAATTGGAGGGCACCGCGGCACCGCGGCACCAACCAAGAATGGGGATGGAACCAACAACTATGGCCAACCTTTGGAGACATGTCAATAAATTCCTTGTGTGTGTGTGTGTTCGTTGTGGGATCTGTATTCCCAAGAGAACAGCAACAAGAATCAATGGCTATTTAGCTAACCCATTATCAATGGGGTATTTAGGAGTTGTCTTTAAACCATAGTTGCAACATGCTACAACCTATTTGTAGAATGGGATCACCTACTCGCCCAACACGGCGAACATCGCTATACTGTACTCATTTCATCTCTGGCAACCAAACATGGCTGGGAGATCCTCTGAACAAACAAGTCATCTATAGTAGCCCCCAAAACAGTGATTTGTCACTGTTCGGATTTTACTTTTCTATCCTTTTGGGGATTGAATAGATATATAATATAGTATAATATAATATAATCTAATATAATATAATAATATAATATAATATACATACAATTATGTACGTTATATCAATGAGGATTTTCCATTGCCAGCTTATTTCGTGGGATGTTTTGGAAAAGCCATGGCTTCTCCCCTGGTGGAGTCTTGGGGCAGCTTCTCATCTGGTTGGTGGTGCAATAACTATCTGGTTATGACTAACATAGCCATGGAAAATTCCCTTATAAATGCAATGTGGTGCCCCCAAGATAGCTAAGTTGGTTCATAACTCTAATAACTAGGATTTATGGTAGATATATCGAACTAGTTAATGGGACTATAAACCAACTTCTAACTGGGGGGCACCACCTTGTGGAGGTTTATAGCTGGGAAAATCATCTAGAAATGTGGTTGGTGCTTTTAACCATCTTGAAAAATATGAGTTCGTCAGTTGGGATGATTATTCCCATATATTATGCCATATATGACATGGAAACATAAAAAATGTTTGAAACCACCAACTAGTCATCAAGGTCAACCTCAGATTCATAGACCCCTTTACTAAAACCAAACATATGCCATACCCTCTGGTAATTTAACATAGCGAAGTGGAAAATCACCATCATTTTAAATAGGCAAATCAACAAACTTTCTATGGCCATTTTCGTTCTGAAACAAAATTGCGAGCCCCGCCTTTGTTCCGATCTTGGCTGTTGATCTGGGCTCCTTCGAGGCTCACCCTTTGCCAAGTACCCTTTTCGGATGGTGGTTTATTTCTGCATCTTTTCGGGGATAGCGCTACCTGATGTTACCTGCTTTGATATGTGTTGGCTCTTGAAAAACAAGTCCTTTTTCTGGTTGTGACGTTGTGACTGGATACGTTGGCAATAAAAAGGCTCCAGTGCCATGACATCAAGAGCCAACTAATATATCTAATATGATGATTAAAAAAACGACTACGAGAGACAAAACTGTTTGGCTTTTCCATCGCAATGTTTGATTGCCAGATGATATGTTATATAGCCCATAAATGACAGGTGAGCAGCATCAAAAACCTTGCTTTGCTTATAGTAATCATGGATTGTTGGCTGGTCCCTTTTCATTGGATTTGTGGAACCCCAATATTAACAATGGACAATCCACCAGCCATAGTTTGATGGTTTTCCCAGCTATAAACCTCCATGTCTAGTGGTGTTTCCCATATGTTGCATGAATTTTCCCATGATTTTCCCATGATTTTCCCACGAATTTTGCCATGAATTGTCCCATGATTTTCCCATGTTTTTCCCATTAAAACCTCCATTTCGTTAAGGGATTTTCCAGCCAGCCACCTTAGAAGATCGTTGAGGCCATCCCAAGCCTGCAGCAAGCAGTTGCCTCAGCACCTCCTCATGACCTGTAGCAGGCGTTGGGTCGAAGATGTAGTCTTTCTTGGGGAAAACAATATGGTACCCCAAAGTCTTGCTAAATAAAGTTGATTATTAAAGGGAAAACTAATAGTTTGGGCTACCTATATTTTAGGAAACCCCTATTTACATATGTCCCACAAGATTTGTGCGCCTTCTATTTCCGAGTTGTTGCTAGCTGACCATGTTAAAACCCCATGCGTATTGATCTATCATCCCCAAACATCAATTCGACAAGAAAAAACAATTAAAAACGCGAAGCATCCACCAAATGTCAAAATGAAAACAAAACATGTCCACAAAATACAAGTTAATAATGTAAAATACTGAACCCACCATAGGTAAATCCATCTGTTAAAAAGGAAAGTCAATTCCGAAATCGATGGATAGCTAACCATCGATAAAGATCCCATTATAAGTTATTAAATGTGTTGTAAATATTGCAAGAAATCCAAATTACACAGCACTATTAACTGTAATTTGAACCTACATACCATGGTTTATCCATGCTTATTCCCATCATTCCCCAACCATCACTCCTCCATGAAACTATCATATTGTGCGTTCGGACTATTCGCCCATCCCAAAGATCTCATTCGTTATCAAATGTTACAACATGTTACAAATATCCTGAGTATATGTATATGTATACATATATATGTACATATTCAGTACATATACCAATCACAGTTATCAAGCGTAATGCACTTATTGTATACATAAAATTACATATATATATACATATATACCCAAGACAAGTAAACTTCACCATGGTTGCTTAAAACCTAAAATTCCACTAATGCCACCCTCAATCCTACATAAATCACTCGCCAACCACCATATTGTTCGTTAAATAGTTATATATATATATGAGCTGGACGCTTGGCTGAATTTATGTGCATAGGCCGCGACTGAACAGTCCCCACATGCCTTAAGGAAAAAAAAAATGTATCTATTATATAATATATACATCCCAGAGACATCGTTCCCCCGATCCATCCCCCACCTTTGGACGCCGCGAAGTGCATCGCCGTGGCGCCGCTGCTGGTGGCCGCCTCCACGTCGACCTTCGCCGCCAGCAGCGTCGCGACCAGCGCGGCCGCGCCGCGGGAGGCCGAGCTGTGCAGCGGCGTCCAGGCCTCGTCGTCCTCGCGCAACGGGAAGGTGGGAAAACGTGGGGAAAAACATGGGAAAAACATGGGAAAACCCAGGAAACACCTGGGAAAACTTGGAAAGATGTTGGTAAAACCATGGGAAAAAAACGCAAAAGATGGGCAAAATGGGGAGTTTCCTAGGAGAAATTGGTTGAGAATGGTTAAAGATTGGTGAGTTAGGCTACAGAGTGGCGATTCATTTCAGGGAATAAGGCGATTTCAAGGAAAATTAAGATGTTCACCAATCAAGATTACCCTCTGGTAAACTAACATAGCTATTGAAAATGGCCATTTATAGTGGATTTACCCATTAAAAACGGCTAAACATGGTGATTTGCCATAGTTACGTTAGTTTACCAGAGGGGCAACAATCAGGATTCATTCCCCAATAAAATTTTGGATTTCACCAACATGATCACCCCATATCCACTTGAATCCACTTGGAATACTGGTCATGGCTGGTCTCTATTGCGAACCCCCCCGGTTGGTAGAAAGTGATTGAGGTATGTATCACCACCAGAAACTCTTCACTGATCTTCACTGTACCCTCTGGTAATTTAACATAGCTATTGAAAATGGCCATTTATAGTGAGTTTTCCCATTAAAAATGAGGATTTTCCATAGTTAGGTTAGTTTACCAGAGGGTATATCTGCAGATCATTGTAGATGTGGATATATTACATACACCATTTCAGGCTGATTTCAGGGCATCGAAGCAGTGGATTTAGCAGCGATTTTTCACCGTTTTCACATGACGGAAACCCTCTGGTAATTTAACATAGCTATGGAAAATCACCATTTTTAATGGGAAAATCCACTATTAATGGCCATGTTCAATAGCTACGTTAAATTACCAGAGGGTATCCCATGGATTGAAATCTCATTCCTCATTATGGGCATGGCCAGTCTTCAATACCCTGCAAAAAAGAGGAGCTTCACCCACTGACTTACCAAACCAAGATTGACCCGACTGGAAGGTCGTCAAGCCCAAATGACTCAGTCTGAAACCTATGGTTTTCCCCCACAGCCGTTTCATGGTAACCGGCCCATATTGTCATAGTGTTTGTAGATCCCATAAGATATCCCAGAAAATGGTGTATCATTTTGCTTGCAAATCCAGATCGATCCTAGCTTTGTCGGAAAACCCAGAGTTTATCATCATGTTTATTACAAATAAATCCCCCTAGCTTTGTCAGAAAATAGGATCCTCCCCAAATCACAGTTTATCATCATCATGGGTTCCAATAAATATCATCATAAACTGTGGACCCTTTTAAATAGTTTGAAACCGGATTGAACTGTGGACATTTTAATATCATCATGGTTCCAACATTTGATGATTTATAATTTCAAACTATGATCATTCAAAAACTGTGAACCTTTTACCTATTTAAAATTTGCAACATTCTTACCTATTAACATGTCCATTTGGGGGGTTGATCCGCCACACATCGCTGATCGAAGATGCGCCGATTTCCCCGAATCCCAATCCCACGATATGCCCCCATGAATCATTACTAATTAAAAGGCCTATTTAGTTCTGGTTAGTGGTTTCAACCCCTCTGAAACATCTGTGGAAAAGTAATCCAAATGTGACCCAAACCACCAACCGTTGTAGTTTTAGTAGATATAATATCTATACTATATCCCACATGTCCACTACATCAATCTGCCATGCCTCCATCCAAATCCCACGTCATCCAGGAACCGATCCCCATCTGCCTCCACCTCCACGGCTGCGCCCTGAGAAATGAGATACGCCACCACCTGGTCGTGTCCATTGGCACAGGCGCGATGCAAGGCCGTCCTGTCGGAATCCGTGGAATTTTGACAGTTGAAACCTCCATCTCTGAGAAAACGCAGGTTTTCTTTGTATCCTCTGGTCAACATACAAAAAACTATTGAAAATGGCCATAGAAATCGTTGATTTAGTTGACTTACGCATTCAAAATGGTGATTTTTAATAGTTATGGTAGTTTACCAGAGGGTAGATTTTCCCCGAAACTCATTTACTCTATGGAGATAATGTGGAGATATAACTCACCAGTTGGGGTGATTTGGGAGGAAACCCCCATCTGACCCGGCGCTGGGATGTATCATGTTATATCATATGAAAAAATGAAACTTTGATGATGTTCAGCATTCATGATAGTTGTTTCTATGATGGAATATATATATATATACATATGTATACACTTAAAATTATATATATATATATAATAAATATTATATCATATCATATAATATAATATTATATTATACTATATTATGTTTTTAATTTTATATCATATCATATCATATCATATTATATCATATCAATATCATATCATATTATATCATATCAATATCATATCATATCATATCATATATTATATTATATTATAATATTATCATATGATGATCCCATACACATATTCCATACATATTCCATATTCCATACATCTCCCTATAAACATCCCAGCAAAATTATTCCATTTGGATTTCATTTGGGATCACCAGTCATCGATGCCCAAGGAGACACCTGCGGTCCTGCGGTCCGGATCCCGGCACTTCAAGCGCTTCTTCAGAGTCTCAGGGCTGGCCTTGGGCCGACAATGCTTTGCCTTTGTCTTTTTAGGATATGTATGGAATATTTATGGGATAATTTATGGGATAATTTATGCTGGTTGGTGGTATACCTGGGTTACCTACCCCCCCGAAAAATATGAAAGGCAGATTGGATCATCATCCCAACTATTGGGGAAAATAAAAAATGTTCCAAACCACCAATCAGTTGTGGGATAATTTATGGGATTAGGAATATTTGTCCCATAACAATATTTGTCCCATAAATTATGCCATTAATTATATGGCTAGCGCTGCATGGGATTATGAATCGGATATGTCTTGGGAAATTTCTGAATAGCGCAAACGCTCAGCTCACAGCTCCCTTGAACGGAGAGTGGAATTTTTTGGAGTCGCGCCGATATCTGGAAGCCAAACAATGACAGAAAATTGCTGTGTCACAAATCATCTTTTATTTACATCTCCATCTTTTCAGGATATAATATGATATAATATGATATAATGGGTCCGGTGGCATCAAACGTTGGGGAAGGAAATGTGAATGTAACCAGCGATCACCAGCGATATGGGGATGATGCAAGTTGGGATAATGGTGGATGGGCATGATTTCACCCGCGACTTGGGGAACTGTTGCTGCCACTTTTTTTTGAAGCGGTGCTGAGACAATGATAAGACTGGTTTCACATGGTTTCATAGTACATATTTGTATGTCATTGCATATCTTTGTAGTATTTGGGATGATTGATAGTTTTGGGGGTGATTGAGTTCGAGCAATTCAACATCAGAACATTCCAATACGTTCGGAAAGCTGAAGCCGGGCGCAAGCCCCTTACTTGTGATGATTCTGGATCAAATGGCTAAGGTTGCCATAAAGGATTTTATATATATATATATATATGTATACATATATATATATATATATAAAACTGTTCTATTAAATTATATAATATATATATATATAAATGTCTACACATCTTTTTGGGATGAAGTAGAATACAGTACCAAATATGATAGCCTTCTATACGTATTATATATTACCACAAACCATCCCTTTCAGAAAGCCTCCTAATATGGTTGATGGAAAATTCAGCATGGGTATGGCAGCCAGTGCATAAAATGGGGTTGAACGGTTAGGTCGATACATATACAATCATATACACTTATGATCATAGAATAGTGTGTAATAGTGTATATACATATCATATCATATAATCGTATAGATAGATAGTTAGATAGATAGATAGATAGATAGGTAGATAGATAGATAGATAAATAGATAGATAGACAGACAAACAGATAGATAGATAGACAGATAGATAGACAGATAGATAGACAGATAGATAGACAGATAGGATAGATAGGATAGATAGACAGATAGATAGGATAAGATAGGATAAGATAGGATAGATAGGATAGATAGGATAGATAGGATAAGATAGGATAAGATAGGATAAGATAGGATAGATAGGATAGATAGGATAGATAGGATAAGATAGGATAAGATAGGATAAGATAGGATAAGATAAGATAGATAGGATAGATAGGATAGATGGGATAGATAGGATAGATAGGATAGATAGGATAGATAGGATAGATAGGATAGATAGGATAGATAGGATAGATAGGATAGATAGGATAAGATAGGATAAGATAGGATAGATAGGATAAGATAGGATAAGATAGGATAGATAGGATAAGATAGGATAGATATAAGATAGGATAGATAGGATAGATAGGATAGATATAAGATAGGATAGATAGGATAGATAGGATAGATAGGATAGATAGGATAGATAGGATAGATAGGATAGATAGGATAGATAGGATAGGATAGATAGGATAGATAGGATAAGATAGGATAGATAGGATAAGATAGGATAGATAGCTAGATAGCTAGATAGATAGCTAGATAGATAGCTAGACAGATAGCTAGATAGACAGACAGACAGACAGATAGATAGACAAATAGATAGACAGACAAACAGATAGATAGATAGATTATCAATATACATTTATCTATATATATTACAACACCATCATACTTTAATCAAAGACTGGTGTTCCCCCATCGCCCGCGCCTTCTCCACCTCGACTTTCAAGGCCTCCAAGTCCCCAGTCTCTGCGTGAAGCAACACAGGGTCCAGCGGTGTTGCCATGGCGCTGAAGCTCCGGAAGATGACGGATCTTGGGGATGCAAACCCATGGATCCATGGATGAATCTATGGATGACATCCAAATATGGATGAACACGGAACACAATACGTTTTAAAGATGCAACCCATGTTTTCTTCTGCCGTTTTTTCTTGATCGAATCAATTTTTCGACATCGGGAAATCTTAGGAATGCTTTTCCTTGGGAAAGAGATGAATTCTCCCAAGGAATCATGCACTTTTGTGACTTGAGTCTCCATGCCCATCAGGTCGCATCCAATCTTTCTGCCTTTGGGTACCCTTGAAAAACATCAAAAAGTGCCGGCAGCTGGCATCCAGTTCGCATCTGGGCTATGGCTCAAACGAAGAAATCCCCTGGATTTCACCAAAAAGCGCCTGGATTTCATGATTTGAATGGAGGTCGGCCCATCCAAATGGGGAGCTGTTGGCCCATTCCCATATTTTTCGCCCCAGTTGATGAATAACTTCTATTGGCAATTGACCATCATTGATATAGACATAGAGCTAAGAGTCACTAAGCCATATGGGGATATGATGCATGACATGTTCATTGCTTTTCCGCAACATGCCCAGTGTCAATAGTTCAATCATCATCCACATTGCACCCCATTGATGGTTGTCCATGGCCACGGCAAATTTGCTTGGCGCCATCCACCATGGCCCGGTTTCTCGAGACTTCCATGTTATCAACGGATCATAGAGTCTCCCAATAGGGGGAGAAGTCAATTAGCTGATTTTTACCTTCCAAAAGTTACGGAGAACTTAAGATACCTTCCAAGAAATCGTTTATGAAAGTATGGCGTTGCCTCTATAGTTTATGTGGATAATATATTCGGCATATCAACCCCCAAAAGTTGGGATACAACCCCTTTACCATCCTATACCTGTGTTATGTATATTATATATATATTATATTTTAAATTATATATATATAATCATATATATATCATATTTTATATATATATATATGTATTATATAATATATAATATCAAATATATATATATATATTACTATATATATAATATATATATATAATATTGCCCGCAGACGCCGTGTGTTGCCCAGACATTAACATTGAGAATGTCGTGCTGTCAAATACGATAGGAGAGATTGCAGAAAATACTGCATATACGCAGTTTTTTCTGGTTTAGGATTCAAATTTTTCAGGGTTTAGGTTTTAGGGTTTTAGGGTTTAAGGTTTTAGGGTTTTAGGGTTTAGGATTTTAGGGTTTAGGGTTTTAGGGTTTTAGGGTTTAGGCTTTAGGGTTCGTCGTCTGGGAAATCTCAAGACAATGGCCCTGCGCAGGTGTTTGAGCATGCTGAAGAATAATGCTTCAACGCCATTTGAACTTTCCGGGCAACACACAGCGCCTGGCCGTGATATATATGTGTATGTGTATATATATATATATTATTTTCACTTCTAACATTTTCACTTCCTGGATGCACGTCCAAGTATGACCTTATACCCCCCATGGTTGTTAACACCGACCATGGAACATCAGCCACACCTCCACGGCGACTTCGCTACTTCGTTACCTGATCAGCTTGCTGAAGGTGCCAATTTTAGGTGCAGAAAATGGCTTTCCCATGGGTTTAACATGGTTTAACTTATCATTTCGATGGGTTCAACATGGTTTAACTTATCATTTCGATGGTTTCAACATGGTTTAACTTATCATTTCGATGGTTTTTCGATATATGGTATCTGCTCTCTTGTTTGGGAACGAGACTGAAGCAATTTGAAAACACGAGTTCCCCCCACCCTTTTGAAGGATACTAACAGAAACATGAAGCTGCTGTCAAACCCGCAACTCATCTGATGCTTTCACCGCAAAACTACCATGATGATACAGATTTGGCTACGGGTCAAAACCCTGGTACCCTGGTTCACATCAAAATAGCTGGTATGGCTGGATGTTCATCCCTAGGTCTCAACGAATTCCCATTTCAGGGAGATTCAGATTGCTGGTCTGCCATCATCCTTTGACCAACCAAAACCCAGGGCCTTCAGACGCACGGGTTGTCTCGCGCGCGTGATTTTATCACGCGCGCCCCCGCGCTCTTAGGCCCCTATGATGGGCGACTGAGCCGCAATGGCAAGAGCAAGATGTATAGAATGGAGAAACAGCGGCAGGAGTTATCAGGAGTTTTATCCCTGGCTGATAAGAGGTGCCATGAACCTTTGAAATTGATCACTCCTCATGCTGCCCCAAGCAGGTTGGTCAGGTTTGTCAGTTATACCAGTTATACCTAGCTTTGTTGGTGGGATATCCTGGACATCTATGGGTCAAAATGATCGACTCCCAGAGACAAATGCCGTGTGTTGCCCAGACATTAACATTGAGGATGTCGTGCTGTCAAATACGATGGGAGAGATTGCAGAAAATACTGCATATACGCAGTGTTTTCTGGTTTAGGATTCAAATTGTTCAGGGTTTAGGTTTTAGGGTTTTAGGGTTTAAGGGTCTAGGGTTCGTCGTCTGGGAAATCTCAAGACACTGGCCCTGCGCAGGTGTTTGAGCATGTTGAAGGATAATGCTTAAACGCCATTTGAACCTTCCGGGCAACACACAGCACCTGGCCGTAGTATTATAATATTGGCAGGCGCATTGGTACCCCAATGTTGAAGCCATATTCAGGTACTCACATGTTCTCACTGTGTCTACTGTTCTTAATTGGTTCCCAGGTCCACCCAATTCAATGGCCATTTTAGGAACCTAAATTGGAGGTACCTACCATATATAAGGCCTATGTAAGGCCTAAATTTCAGGGAATATCACCACAAAATATGGCCTTATATGGTACAGTACCTCCATTTTAGCCTGAAATTCCCATTGACCAATCTACACGGCCATCTTTTTGCCGCAGAAGAAATGGTCGTCTCAAGCCATCCGCAAGGCCAATGGAACTGAGTGGCAACGTTTCTCGGGATGGTGGCGACAGCAACCCAATTTTTACATGGTTTTTACATGGCATCAATGTCAATATCTTTTTTTTATATTTTTTGGGGATGAATATCTATAAAATACCTATGACCTATGGGGCTGATGATTTTGGGGGATGAACATCCATAACGGAACTAGCCGCTGGATGATTCGAACTTGGAGTATTCACCAACAGTTACTTGGTGTATTCTTTCCTACCAGAGTCAGTCGCTTTTTTGCTGGAGGTCGCTTCACTACCAGGCAGACTGCAACTGGAAGTGTCTGGTGGAATTTGAAAGATGCCCAAATTTACGGCTAAAGACGAGTAAAACGGGATGCCTGGAATCTCCCAAAAAGTGTGGAAAACGATGGGAAAGTGGACCTCCATCACCTATTATATATATATATATATATCCATCACCTATATACTATGTGATCCGAGAAAACTATGATTTTGCTGAACTTGAGCAAAATTGCAAGAAACACCAAAATTTCTAACATGTCCTCTATAAACGTCACATTCTGAGTGCGTCAACCATTCTCTACCATTTAACAGTTGCGTTATAGACCAAGAACATGACGAACATGTATGAAATTGTACTGAGGTAAAGCCAATCATAAACCATCCCCAATGGGAATTTATCATGGGATCATGGCAGTGGGTCTGCCACGACATTGCCATTGCCAGAAAATCTTTCTCGTCCCGTCCCGTCCCAGTTCGTTCGCCAAGTTTGCGAACATCAATCTTTACAACTACAGTAGTTTAACTGGGTTTTGTGGTGCGCATAAATTATGGTTATATGATGTTATATGGTGGTCAATAAATTACTTGAAATTAGGGGGCACCACTTTGTGTATCAGATATTAGTATCAAATATGCATCATATGCCTTGGGTCTCCCGGACTGTTGCTGTCTTCTTGCTTTGGGGCCACGTAGCCTCAGAGCATATCTGGGAGTTTCCGTGGCGGCCCAGCATTCGGAGTTCGTCTAAATTCGGGGGATCTATGCAACAAAAACTGCCACTTTCATGCGGACAAACCATCATTGACGATGGTAAATGTGAGGATACCAGATTTTCTGAGCTATGTTCGATCTTATCCTGAGATATCCTGAGTGGGTTTTATATGGTTTTATCAAGTTGCCATTTCAACTTAAAATCATGATTCTCCATCCTAAGTGGATGTTGGGGTACAAAATTCTTTGGACGCTTAAAATCAGTAAAGCCGGAAGGGACTCAAAATTTACTGAGCAGCCCGTCCCATAGAAAAAACTAAAAACCATAGAGAACATGTTGGTGAAAGCATGTCCAATGGGTTCAATCAGTCCAATCCACTCCTAAGACATAGCAGACCCTGCGGGCTGTTTGGGGGTCACCTGGACCACTACCTTCTGTGTTCAACCCCACTACGGTAGGACCTGAAATTGAGTGTCAAGATTTTTCTGATAGATTTGGAGGTTTCCTAATAATCCTAAGTCATGGGGGTACCCATAAATCAATCCAAATCATCTATTTTAATAGGAGTTTCCATTACATCATTATAAACCATCCAAATCATCTATTTTAGTAGGATTTTCCATTATAAACCATCCAAATCATCTATTTTAGTAGGATTTTCCATTAGAAACCATCCATTCATAGGGACCTTTATCTTCGGAAACTCCCCAAATCCACTCCCCGACCCCGGGATCCACCGAGGACGCTGCCATGACTGGGCCATTCCGCGCTATCAATCCTTGGATCTTTTGGTGGATGATCTTCCAAAGTTGAGGTCATGAGTATATCAATGGATTGGTTTAAGGGAAAATCGAAACCGGAAACCATAGATTTTCCCATGAAGATCATGGGGCTTTCCTGTAAATTTTCCATTAAACCAATCCATTGAGTATATCTAATTGGTGGTATACCTACCCCCCTGAAAAATATGAGTGAGTTGGGATATACCTAAGTATTTGTTCCTAAAAAGTTTTTTCTTCACCACCATAACTGGTTGGTGGTATACCTACCCCCCTGAAAAATATGAGTTCGTCAGATTGGATCATGATTCCCAACTGAATGGGAAAATTAAAAAAAAATGTTCCAAACCACCAACATTTGGTATATTGATGTGGTTAAAACAATGTCATAAACTACCCATTTTCCTGGGAATGGTAACCATACCACCTATAAAAATGGTGACTGGGGGAGAGTTTATGACATTGTTTTAACCACAAAAAGCTGGTGATGGTGGGTGAAGATGATGAAACTGTTCCTGGAGAACCTCCAATAGGAACCTTCAGGAACCAGGTCCCCACCGAAAACGCCAAGATCATAGATGATCATAGGGTCACACGATGTCGCACAATGTCTCCAACCCTATGTGGGTCACAAACGATCCGGAAGTCGAAGCAAAGGTGGGGATGGAACCGGCACGAATCACAGTTTCTAGAGAGTTAACCAGGTCCTTTAGGCAGCACTTCAGTGGTCAATAGGACATCATGTGCTTTATTTTAGCTGGAACACCACTACACTGATACCACCTTTACTATATTTTACCATAAGGTGTTGCTGTCTTTCCCTATCATGTAATGATGTAATGGTCAAAAATTGGAAGGCAGTCCCCGCTTGTAAGACAAACCCATATGTGTCATGGTCTGGTAAAATGGGCATGGTAATCTGTCCAAGTATGGAATCCAAACACATAATGGGCATATGAATCACGATGAAAATGGAAGACACTCCCCCAATCTGGGCAATATAATTCATGCCAGTTTCGACCGTGGCACAGATGCATATTCTGACTATAATGTTATATAATGTTATATTAAAATCTCCATATGTTTGATGGTAAAATCATCATAAACATCCCCAAGTGTGTTGCTTCAAACCGCCCAATGCTTCACCCTGTTACGGCCCTTGGGATCCCTTGGGTCACCAGACACGATGGACGGCCCACCGTGCGACTGGATGTGCATCTTGGAGAAAAAGTCCTGCGATTGGCATCCCCAGTGGTGAATTTTGATCCCCAAAAATAGATCAATGGATTGGTTTAAGGGAAAAAATCTACAGGAAACCATAGATTTTCCCATTAAATATGGGGTTTTCCTGTAAATGTTCCCTTAAACCAATCCATTGAATAGACTTACTGGTGCGTTTTACGTAGGGAATGGATGGGACTGGGGAAATGGGATGATTATTACTAGTGATTATAGATCATTCCCTCATTGGTGCGTTTTACGTAGGGTTGCTGGATGGGTTGCTGGGGGTTGCGATTGGATGATGATTATTCCCGAAAATTCCCTGCGTAAAACGCACCAGTAAGTAGAAGAAGTGAAGCTGGTTGGTGGTATACCTACCCCTCTGAAAAATATGAGTTCGTCGGTTGGGATGATGACATTCCCAACAGATGGAAAAATAAAAAAAAACAAACCACCAACCAGGAAGGTTCAATTTGGGCTATTTTACCCTCTGGTAAACGTTTACATAACTATGGAAAATCACCATGCTATTTAGCTGGCTAAATCAACGAACTTTCGATAAAAGGGCCATTTTCAATATATCGCAAACTGAAAAAACGTTTACCAGAGGGTAAGTCGGGTAAGTGGTGCCATCCCCAGATTTTTCGATCTGGGGGACTGGATGGCCGCACCTCGGGGGACCCCGGGGACCTCGCCCGTGAGTCTGCGACTTGGGGCCTGGGGACTGTCGGGTATCTCCACTGGTCTGACCATTTTCGTGGTTCAAAACATTTCAAATCCATTTCTTCTCCCACTCCAGATTTTAGATCAACTTTAGTGCTTGGATTTATACATCACGTTAACCCTCGAAATCACCCCGAAATCACCCGAAATCATGCAGGATATACCAACACCATGGATCATATCCAGATCTGGAGTGTGTCAGACTGACCATGTCTTGCCAGGAATGACCATGTTCCATCCATTTTCCATCCATTTTCAATTTTCGCTCCTTCTGCTTCTTGGCTCCCTCCGGGGCTTTGTCAGCCAACTGTTGCAGCAAGCTGCGAAGATTCTCCAGCAACCTTGGACAACAATCGCTACGTCCATCCCCCGAGTCCGTTGTCCCCCAAGAAGGACGGATGTGTGTTTGAAAATATGGGCAATATACGGCCCAAGATAGATAGATATATATATATATATATTATATTATATTATATTATATTATATATTATATATTATATTATATTATATTATATTATATAATATTATATTATATTATATTGTATTATATTATATTATATTGTATTGTATTATATTATATTATATTATATTGTATTATATTATATTATATTATATTATATTGTATTATATTATATTATATTATATTATAATATTATATAATATATATATATAGAATATATATAATATAATATATATATATATATAGAATATATATAATATATATATAGTGGGAAAGTTGGTAAATCATGTCTTCAGAGTGGGAAATCATGATTGGCATACCATGACTATCAAAAAGCCCCCAGCCCAATCCACAGCCTCTTGGATTCCCGGGCTTTTCCTTGCCCTGCGACTGTTTGCCAAAGGGCACCGAGATCTCGGACGGACGGACCGTCGGACGTCCAGGGGATGACTTCTGATTCTCTTGGATCAAACTGGTTTAATGGGATTTATAGCGATTTAATGGGATTTAATGGGATTTATAGCGATTTAATGGGATTTAATGGGATTTTATAGTGATTTAATGGGATATTAATGGGATATACCCTCTGGTAAACTAACATAGCTATTGAAAATGACCATTTATAGTGAGTTTTCCCATTAAAAATGGTGATGTTCCATAGTTGTGTAAACGTTTACCAGAGGGTAAACATACTTAAACTATAGTCTAAACTGGACATTTACCCTCTGGTAATGACTAAGAGTTGGCGATATATTGAAAATGGCCCAGTCGAAAGTTCGTTGGTTTAGCCAGCTAAATAGCATGGTGATTTTCAATAGCCATTTCGATTGTTGTACGTTTTTATGGTTCCCCAATCCTAATCACCATCACTCACGGTGAGGTCGATAGTCTTTTTTTTTCGGCCCACCAAGAGATGGCCGATGGAACACGATGAGATTGTTACCTTCATGCACCAATGGTATATTTGCCTATATCAATGGCCATTTCAGGAACCTAAGGAACCTAAATTGGAGGTACCTACCATATATCAAGGCCTATGTATGGGAATATCCCCACACAATATGGCCTTATATGGTAAAGTACCTCCATTCTAGGATCCTGAAATTTCCATTGACTATAGATTGCATTGAAATGCCACCATTTGACCAAAATCAACTGCCAAATCTAGGCGCATTTTGCGCATGTATGGCACAGGAAGTGTCAAGCCGTGCTTGAGGGACAGCATCGTTTTTGTGCCACGTCTTCAACTGAGCCATATCCGAACCCCCCCTTTTATATGGTTTACTGGATATGCAGGCTTTAGCAGCTAGTCATCAACTATGGGAATCCTGCCCCCAACGAGTAGGAAGGCATGAGCGAATCTTTGGCCAACCCATCCCCAGAAACCCAGCTTTGATGACTGGAATCGTTTATTGATGGCACTAAAACTCGGAATCCTCAAACAAAAGAGGACAGTTGTTGCCGTACGTTGCTTAGACAAGGTTATCTATAACATATATGTATATATATATATATTATGTATATGTATAATATATTATGATATATTATAATATACTATTGTATATGTATACTTGTATAATCTTGTATATTGAATTACACATTGGTCTACCTCAATTTTTTCTCATGTCCAACTTTTCTCTCGGCCCAGGAACCACCATTCGCGCTCCACTGCGGAGCTCGAGGGTTCCTGGCACCGGCCCGGTTTGTTTGCCACCAATATCTAGCAACAAATATGAGGGATTGTCAGTCAGTCACAAAAAATGGGGGTACATCTATGGAATCTATGGTTTTTTTTCTTAAGTCAACTGGGAGATTTTCAGTTTTCCTCACCATGACTTGGATGATTTGGGGTACCCCCATGACTTAAGAACCTCCATGAAGCAACAACATGATCTTTGGATGTGGCTTAAAATGGGGTATAGCCCCAATATAAGGCAATAAGCACTAGGGAGACTTATGATTAATGATTAACCAGCGGATTTGGGGTTTTCCAACAAACCCAAAAGCTGGTTGGGGTATTATGGGGATATATTGGGGATATAACTAACCGAGGTATTGTTGGAAATACATTATATATCATATATGGTAACATTCTATTGACATTCAAGTATCTTCTACATAGATGGGAATTCGGGAGGCACTTAGGGGAATATGATGGGATAGAATCTGATATATACCCTCTGGTTATTTAACATAGCCATGGAAAATCCCTTATAAATGGAGGGTTTTAATGGGAAAATCATCTATAAATGGGCCATTTTCCATGGCTATGTTAAATAACCAGAGGGTACATGGCTTCAGCAACTCATCAACTCATCAAACTGAAAAATTCACCCCAAAGCCATCCACGGCTCGCCTCCTTTCTTCCACTCCTTGATGGCTCCCTCAATGTCACTCACCTGATCCAGGATGATCCAGGTTGATCCATCACCGATGGTCGAAGAGTCGAAGATGAAACCCATAAGATATTTTTTTCAGATTTTTTGGGCTACCCTCTGGTAAACTAACATAGCTATGGAAAATCACTATTTTTAATGGGTAAATCCACTGTAAATGGTCATGTTCAATAGCTATGTTAGTTTACCGGAGGCTACCCGAAACATGTTGAAACTACCAAGCACTTTGTCATTGAATCATATTGAATCCATTTAAGGGGAGTGTGAACCCGATACGCCGGAGCTTCTGTTGGCTTCAGGGGCCATCCAATCTTTTTCGGGCTACTGAATTTCGACCAAGCAAACTACAATTGACTTCAATCCATGTTTAAACTATCCTTTCATTAAACTGGCTATGAAAATTGGGGGGACATGCCAGTTGAATCATTTCGAGACAGACCCATAGCAACCCCCCAAAAGATGTCGAAAAGCTCAACAATCTATCTAGTTTGAAGGGTTGCTATGACTGGCATAAACTCCCCACTTTTTCACACCATCTCTCCCAACCAAGATTCCCTGCTACGGTGCCAGACTTGGGAGACGGCATCAAGCGCCTGCGTTCGAAGGATCCCCCTATCAATCCATGGCGCTGGTATTTTTGGCTGCTTGGATTGCTTGACTGGGGATTTTTGATGGTTAATGTATAGGACAATAGCACCGCGAAGCGCGTGAACTGGACGAGGATGATCAGGGATGATTTAGGGCATTATACGGGTGTCAACATGTGTCAACCCATAAATGAAACTGGAATCGTAAACCAGCTGCCAGACAAGGCTGGGATATTGCTCCCAGCGACGCCCCCCACCTCTTTCCCAAGATTTTACCGAGCTTTGCCAGGGCTGGCATGCTGGCAGGCTTAGTAATCAAGACCTGAGTCACCGCTGGGTGCGTTCAACGTAGAACCAACGCTGGTTGAACTGGACAAGGCTGAAAGGCTTGCTTGATGAAGTCAGATAGATACATAGATACATAGATACATAGATACATAGCCATGCATGTTACTTCGATGTAAGATGAACTTTGGATGGATATGGATGGATATGGGTGGATATGGATGGATATGGATATGGATCTTCAGCGTCATAAAATTTCGATCTCCCAGTCATCTGACATCCCATGAGATGCGTCCAAGCAGCATCGAACTCAAACTCCTCTGCTTGAATCTGATCTTGAAGTGTCTGCAAAAAGGGCCCCAATGCGGCCCAAAAAATGCTGGGGATCCGGTAAACAAAAAAAAACACAAAATGCTGGGAGTATCTGGGAGTTGTTCTGAGTGATTCGAGATGTCCTTCGCCGTTGGAAAAAACATATCACCAAAACAGTCTACAATCAAGTCATGTTCAATATTTCATTTAATAAATTGGTGATGTTAGTGGATTCAATATTCATTGAATTTAATGGATTCCAATGGCTGCCTTTTTGAAAGAACTTTGCAGTCGTTGCTGTCTGATTTGGAACAACTCCAACTGTCATTGATCTCTGCATATCTCGGTAGGAACTCTCCACACGCTTGACTTACCCTCTGGTTATTTAACATAGCCATGGAAAATCACCATTTCTAATAGGTAAACCATCTATAAACGGGCCATTTTCCATGGCTATGTTAAATCCGCCCACACCGCTTTGGCGGTGAAGGCGTGCTTATTGGGGGGCAACAGCAACACTAAATGCTCAATGACATTTGTTAATATAGCAGTCGCTATATCAGCTTTAGCTGGGGGGGGGGGCCAAAAACGGTTTCGCACCGAGACCAGACCCCAAAAACGGTTTCGCACCGAGACCAGAATACGGTGGTGTTTTCGACATTTTTCGAGGATTTTTGGGTGTCTGAGCGCAAGAGGGTATTGAAATGGAATTTTGGGTCATTTTGGTAGCTTTCCGGCAATGGAAAAACGGCCAAAAATGAAAAAAACATTGTACATAGCAAGATTTTGCAGGGTTTTTGGATGCCAGAGCATTGAAAACACTGCAAAAACAAGTGTTTTGGACTGACGTTATAGCAAAAAACGTGTAAATTACCGTATGCTTGACTGGAAACATTACAAAAACACTGTCAAAAGCAATGTTTTGGAAGGATTTACTGCCTTTATGGCAAAAAACGTGTAAATTACCGTCTGTTTGACTGGAAACATTGAAACACTGTCAAAAACAATGTTTTGGAAGGATTTCTTATTGAAACTTCTTAGCTTGAAGAGCCCCCACGGGGGAAAACCACCCTTAGCCCCTCTCACGGACCGAAATAAACCTGCGGTGTGGGCGGCCACCCCACGCGAAGCGGGGTGAATAACCAGAGGGTAGCTGGATCTCCATCTGTAACATCTGAGGCAACATCCCCCAGCTTTAGGCCTTGCCGGCAATGCTGGCTCCCATATCCAGCATCTGGCGCAGATTGGATCAGATTGGATGTCTGGGTCAACTTTAAGGCCTGTGGGACCATACAGTTGAGTCTACCCTCTGGTAACCCATTGAAAATTGTGATTTTCCATAATGTTAGTTTACCAGAGGGTAGTTTTTAGTACTAACCATCTAATTTCAGAGGCCAATTTTGACCCATAGTCATGATCTGCGGACGAATCTTGGCATTCCAGAGCCGTCAATTTCCACTGCTGGTTGGTTTGAATCCCCTAAAATATGCTCATCTCAACCAAAGCATGGTTGAGAAAACAATAAATACCCCCTGGTAATTTAAGATAGCCATGGGAAATCACTATGTTTAATAGCTAAATAGATCAGGCCAAATCATGTTAGGGGAAGGTTCAACACTATTTCACACCATTCTCCCCATTAAAGCTGCCATTCTATGGAGATCTCCATTTACCCTAACAGCATATTGTTGCTTGTATATTCCATAATCTCCCATGATTATCTCATTATATTGCCATTTTATCACCATAAGATTCTTACAAGTAGTAAGTCTCCCACCTTTTCCTGGTTTTAAATACCCCTCAACATCCTCTATGGTCATAAATCCTCCATTTTCCCAAGTTTTTCTCGGTTGAATCCCCCTGTTGTTGGTTGTTCAACAACAACCACCACCACCACCACGACGACGACGGCGTCCAGCCAGATCCTCTCCGACGCCGGTCACCCGGTCACCTCTTTCTCCTGCTCTGGGGCGCAAAAGACGGCCACGCGCTGCTCTTTGCCAAGACCATTCGGCAGTTGGACCTTGGTCCTGGCCATCGGCCCGGATCCAGCGGAAAAGCCATGGGGGAAACCCGGGAAACCCCGAAAATCAATGGCCATATATAAGGAACCCAAGGAACCTAAATTGGAGGTACCTACCATAAGGCCTAGAATTAAATGATCTAGAAATGGGAGATTTCACAAAACTTGGTTTTTTTAATGATTTAGCAAAGAAAAAATAGGCTGGAAACTTGATGATTTATAACTCTGTATTAGAGATATGAAGGGAGATTTAACAATAAAAATGGGATGTGTACGAACAATGTGAGGCTGATAAATTGGGAATATCATGACATCATGACAGCCACTTGCAAGAGAGATGTGGTTCTAATGCGTTCAATCGCCAGCCGATGACAAACTTTCGGCCCCTACAAAGCCATGATTGCTTGTGTCAGCCAGATGGGATTTTTTTCTAAGGGCCTAAAAAGTGATCAATCATAACTATTATAGCCATATTATAGCCATATTATAGCCATATAAAAAGATCATCATCTGACCAGATGATCATAATAATAAATCAGATGATGATCATAATATGGCATAATGTGGCTATAATATGGCTATAATGATTACCCTCTGGTAATTTAACATAGCTATTGAAAATGGCCATTTATAGTGGATTTTCCAATTAAAAGTTGGTGGATCTTTCCATAGTTATGTAAACGTTTACCAGAGGGTATCATAATCAGATCATCTGACCAGTGATCCCTAAAATGATCCTGGAAAGAGGGCCTGTTTCAACGGCGCTAGCAGATCTGAGTCCTGATCTGCTGGTCCGGGTACTTGGAGTCCAAGGCCATCTTAAGCTTCAGCCTGACAGAGGGGATGTTCAAACGTGTCTGGTCCGTTGATATTGAATGATCTTGAGATGTTGTTTTTCATAAAATGTATCTATAATATATGGAATATTATAGATGTATCTATATGGAATATTATAGATGTTTAATATATGGAAGATTATAGATTTTTTTTGTTTAGGTCTAATCTATGACTTTAGTATACTATTCGTTCAACAACTATTCGTTGTGGCAAACCTCAAAGGGCGGCCGAGGGACCCAACAGTCTTCAAGTTTTCAAGGCCCTAACCACCATCAACCCTTTTATAACTGTACCACACTTATACATAAGTTCTTATCTAGTTGGTTTTTGGGATAACCCATCACCTCGTCAACCCTTTATATCCACCATGAAACCTGAAAATATCCATCATCAACCCTTACTAACCACCATCAACAATCAGATCATTAACCACTGTTGATCATATGTATATACTAGTAATAATAACAATAATAATGTGGTCAAAACAATAATAAACCCCCCATTTGGGAATGGTTTATACCAACTATTTATGGTGATGACTAAGGGATGGTTTATGACATTGTTTTACCCACATTACTCTCTGGTAAATTAACATAGACCCTGAAAATAGCCTAGTTTTAATGGAAACTAATCTTCCAACCCCTATCTGCCAGGGTCTATGTTAATGTACCAGAGGGTAATAATGATTCTTGCTGTACATGTTCATTACATACGATAAGAATTCCAATGAAAATAACCAGAAATTCACCAGCATTCACCGCCTATCAATGCGACACGAAACATGACCAGTTAGTTCGATGATTTACCGTTTAAAATGCTGACTTTTCCATAGCTTTTTTGTATGTTTACCAGAAAATATATAACAAATTCAAGGTGCTGCTGCCCTGGTAGGTATACTTATATCCCCCTAATCAACCCAAACGTTCACCAACTCAAAAAAATCAATCAACTTAGCTATCTTGGGGGCCAACAGTTGTAAGTTGGAATAGAAATCCATTAACTGTAGTTATACCATACGAGTATCATGTTATATTCCCCATCAACTATACTGAAAATCTATCAACATCAGCCACCTCCGTGCGCACCACAACTGCTTCGTGCGCTTCGTGCGCGGGGGTTTCCAACCACCAAGGAGCTCGAAGGTGTCGTCCTTGTCGTGCCAGTCGCCCTCGTATCCAGCGAAAATGATGTCGATGGCCTGATGGGGGCGGCTTTTGAAGAGATCCAATGCAAAACATCTGAAGTATGTATAGCTCATAAGAATGGTCAATATATATATATATATATATGTATGTATATATCATCTATATATATATATATATGTATGTATACTTATATAAGATATATATATTTATATATGTGAACAATGGAAAACCCAACCCCCCCCCCACCCCCGCCCCCATCTTTTTTTCCCCCCCCCCCGGTTTTTCCTTTCCCCCGGACTTCCCGGTTCCCCCCCCCCTGTGGCAGGGAAGGGGGGGTTTTCTCAGCAGCCAAGCCATGGTGTATGTAGTCTTTATAGTGCATATAATGCATATGTATCGATAATTAGAATGGATATACTATATGTAGTAAGATATAAATAGAATATATGCAATCTATATATATATATTTATAATATATATATATATATATTTGACATATATATATATATATATTGAACATATATATATATATGATTATATATATATATATGATTATATATATATACATTGTATATGTGGTTTTTGATAGAATATAGATAGTATATGCCACATGTACTGTATCCACAGTAGATGTAATATATACAATATAGGTAAATATGTTCGTTGAATAAATTTTACATAGTATATGTGGTATATTGAATATCGACAGCAATACACGCTGTATATCTAGAGTTTATGTATATATATATATATGTATATATTATATATACATATATATATATACGTGTACAGTATGTACAACGTATACGAAATATGTGATAGATACAAGATCAAGATATCAATCTGTAGCATCTAGAATGTGCATATATATATATGTATTTATTGTTTTTCTACTGTACATATGTCTAGGTTTGCATAGGTAAGCTTTGCGTAATCCATAGGTAGCAAATATGTTGTAAACCATGTGCGAGGCACGCTATAGGCGGTTCGAAAAAAAGGTTATGATAGAAATATACAGGTAGACAAGGTCCGTTGACGAGGTCGTGGCTCTCAAGTGCTGCAAATAACGTAGAGATGCGAGGTTGGAGGGGTGGAAAGGGGAGTATATATGTCATATTGTGTATATGTGTATGTATATGAGCAAATAACATGCAAATACACTGGTTTTGGGGGGTGGGGGGTTAGGAAGTGGGGGGGGGAATTCCATTTGGGGGGAGGGGGGGGTGTTGTGGTGTCTTCCTGGGACCGGGGCCCTTCCTTGTTATGTTATTTATTTTCTTCTTTATTTAATTTTTAATGTCTTGTCTGTATTTATGGTATGTATGTTGTCATGTAAATTTCTTTCCTTTCACATTTTCCCTTTCTTTCTTTCTTTTCTTTCTTTCTTTCTTTTCTTTATTTCTTTCTTTCTTTCTTTTCTTTCTTTCTTTCTTTCCTTTCTTTCTTTTCTTTCTTTCTTTCTTTCCTTTCTTTCTTTCTTTCTTTCTTTCTGTCTTTCTTTCTTTCTTTCTTTCCTGTCTTTCTTGCTTTCTTTCTTTATTTATTTTTTTTCTTTCTTTCTTTCTTTCTTTCCTTTCTTTCTTTTCTTTCTTTTCTTTCTTTCTTTCTTTCTTTCTTTCTTTTCTTTCTTTCTTTCTTTCTTTCTATTCTTGTTCATTTCTTTCTCCTTTAACTCTCTCTCTCCTGTCTCCTTGCCTCTCTCTCTCCACTTCCTCTCTCTGTCCTCCTGTCTCTCTCTGCCTCTCTCTTCTGTCTCTCCCTTCTCTCCTCTCTCTCGCAACAGGTGTAACCACGGGGGAATCAGGGGGAAGAGGGAAGAAGGGGGAATGGCTAATAATCCTGAATCTGAATTGATTTAGAGGTTTCCGAAGTCATTGGGGTACCCCAGTCATGATCGAAGTCGTGGATGACCATGACTTAGGATTGAAACAACCATGGCGACTTGGGGTGTTTAATACCAGGGGGTTGGGATTGTTTCTAGTAAGCCACAAAAAGATAGGGGAAAACCGGGGAAAACATCGCAATTTAATATCTTCAAAGATCTCTAAAGTAATTTATCACTATTTTAGGATTGGATGTGGTACCCTTTTTTGGGGGTGCATGGGGGTGCTATATCTATATAGGGATGGATCTGCAGCCTGCAACCCTGGTGATAGCCCCACTGAAGGGACTCAAAAAAAACACAGGGGTTGATGTCGATGACGAGGCTAGGCTGGAATTGTTTGGCATAAAATGGTGAGTACATCCCATATCTATCTATCTATCTATCTATCTATCTATCTATCTAATATGTGCATATATATATATGTACTTATAAATATTCATAATACGTATACATATATATATGCATATGTAGAATGATCAATGATGATCTTCCAGAATCCAACCGAGAATCTCCAATGTCTTAAGGTTTTTCAGGAAACTCCAAATTATAAAATGACAGTTTTGCAGAGGTTTAGAGTGATATATAGTGATAATTTTGTTTCATCATTGGATTTTCATGGACTATCACGGATTTCATGGATTTTGCTTCAGGTGGGTAAACCACTTACACTCAAGCAGCAAGTCTCCACTGCGCCAACATCCAACACCGCGCCTCTGGCAGAGAGTAGGGCCTTAAACATCATGGCAGTGGTCAAACTGGGTGGGTCAGGAAAACTCGTGAGCCGCATAACACTGACATAACTGGGTGCGTTGAAATCGTTGGAAACCATGTTTTCTACCATGAAATACTACAAGGCTCCACGGTATTTTCCTCTGAATTTTCTCTGAGTTGAAAAACTCTTCAAGACATAGCAAAAAATTGTTCAAATAGGCCAGTGCTTAGCAAAATATAGCTATGCTTAGCAGCTAGCGCTCCATGAGTTGGGATTCTATCACGTTGATGGAGTTAAAAACAAAAAATAACAACACATGATATATAATAACCCATTTGAAATATATATAATAGATATTCATCAATAGATATTAATATATAATAATAATAGTAATAATAATAATGATAATGATAATAATAATAGTAATAATAATAATAAATATGATAAATAACCCATTAGAAACCGAAAAAAATGCCTTACTTCGAGTGATCTCCAGCCTGACACACTATTCTGACATAGTTTCTGACGTATCACCTGGAAGTATGTATGGCAGATGTATTCTGACATTCTTTCTGGCATATACAGTACTCCATCTATTCTGACATTCTTTCTGGCATTCTACATGACATATGTTCTGACATACTTTCTGGCATATATTCTGACATTCTTTCTGGCGCTCTAATCTGGCATTCTGTCTGGCATCTATTCAGGCATTCATTCTGGCATTCTCTCTGGCATGTGTTCGGGTCCAGGCGTGGCCCACTGCATCCGGAACTGGCAAAGGATATGAAGAAGATGAGAGGTCCACAAGATAGCGGAGTAGGCGGGTGAGGAGATGAAGGAGTTGTACCTTTGTTAAAATCTAGAGACCCTCACCTGGGGGGAATACAACCCGCAAAAAATACTATGGTTATATAATTGATAACCATCAACTATGGTATATTATAACCCGATCAACTATGGTATATATAACCATATATATACTTGCTGGCTCATCCCATAAGTGAGTGATATCGCTATATCCCAGTTATAAGTGGATTGAGCCTACTTATCCCACTTATAGCTGGGATATAACGATATAAACTTGATATAACTCACTAAGTGGGATGAGCCCCCAAGTAACCCACCCACTGCGCGAGGCTCCGGCTTGAAGCGCTCGAAGCGCCGTTCCCCCGCGTCGTTGAAGAGACGTCTCCAATACGACGGACCTCCAGCGATGTTCACCATGTTCACCATGTTCACCGGCCGAAAAATGATGTTTTTTATAGGTATTGATCCATAGCCAAATAGGATAAACCAGAATAGCTGGTGTTTTTTTCTGGATGTTCATCAGAAAAGAATATGGCATGATAGGCTGTAAACAATCCCCTCCATGATTTCACCCCAACATGAGAAAAAACTGTGTGATTTCTCGTGTAAGCAGTGACCAACACATCTTTGTCATCCCCAAAGCCACTGCTTCCTTGAGAGGGGATTCCCGTTTCGGCTTGGTTTCGCCAAATCCACTGCAGTTCTGCGTGTTTTTCTTCTGTAGCCTCTGGTCATTTCTTAGCGATGGAAAATCACCATGATTTATAGCTAAATAAATCATGCCAAATCATGTTTAGGGGGAAGGTTCAACACTAGTTCACACCATTATCCCTATTAGATAGCTAAAATCGCCATCAATGGACCCATTTTCCATGGCGATGTTCAACTTTTAATCATCACCTGCCACCGCCCGACGGCACCAGTAGATGCACATCCTAGTGACTGAACCGTGATTCCTATCACAAGCTACTTATGTTCCCAATTATGAGTAGTTATGTACATTATATGATATGTGTATATATATATATATTATGTATACACATACAGTATACCATAATATATCATGTTATATCATATTATATCATATTATATCATATTATATCTATATACATACATGTAGGAAGACATAGGATTACTATCCAGTCGGCTCCCGAGCTCCCCAACTACGAGTCTTGATGGCGGCCGGCTGCGACCTCAGCTGCCGAATCCGAGTTTGTTCATGGTGACAACCTCCATAAGTTGGGGTATTCATAACCACTGGGATATGCAACCAATGATGAAATACTCTGTCCAAACATCGGGGATACCCATTGTGGTTCTATCACGTAGCCCAAACGACCCAAAAGCATACCCCAAAACCCTGCGTCAGTATAGTAGAAGTACCAGTCCAAGTAACCAATTCCTATGGGTAGCCAATACTGCTACCGATATATATATATATATGTGTTTTTGAATATGTAACGTATATATATATATATATGGTCCCGTCCTCCGTCCCTCCACCCCCCCCATGGGTTGGGTCCCCAGGTAGCAGCCCCAATTCCCTTCTATTTGCAAGCTATTGGCAGCATTTCTGAGGTCCAGCTTCGTATTTGCTAGGTCTTTGCAGCATTTCTGACTACCAGCCTCGCATTTACTATATAGGTACATGCTACCTTTTTAAGCGACCTACGTAGCACACATACTCCTTCAAAGTACCTACGTGCTACCTATAGTCATATATACATGTGCTATGTATCTACTGTATCTACTTGCTATTTACTACCTGTGTACTCTGACAACACTACCCGTGTTTAACATATACCGTACCTACCATACATGTCACTGATGCCATGCATACCATACCTATCATATCTATCATATCTATCATACATACCACACATACCATACATATGAAATGTAATTACCACACCTACCATACATACAATAGCAAACATACATGCCATACATACCATACCTACCTTACATAGGAAATATTCCAGACCCATCATAGTAATCATACATACCATACAGACCATACATACTGTCATATCAAACATACCATACCCAACAGACTTACATACCATACCTACCATCCATACAATACCAGCCACTCATGCCATACATACCATACCTACCATACATACCAAACATACCATACTTTCCAAACATGCCATACCAGACCGACCATACACACCATACATACCCAACATACCATACCACACCCCCACCACACCACAGGGGGGGGAGGGGGACAGTGCCACACTGCCACCACACCACAGGGGGGGAGGGGGAAGATCTCATATGGGGCCAGTATGTGGGACCCATCCCATGGGGGGGGAGGGGAGGGGGGGGGTGGCAGGGCCTGGTGCATATATATGATAAACCTAACATACACCACTACAAATGACCTCAGTATTCAAAACCATATTTCTGCAAAAAAAGGAGTTCCCAAAAATGAGACATGAAAAATACCCCTATCCTGTCCCGTTATACTGCTTGGTTAATAGGTATCCCGGTATCCCTATTGTAATTTATCACAATCCCCAATCAATTTTGTAGGCTACTAACTCCCATTTCATAACGAATCAACACTGGTATCTTGAATGGCCCAGGTCACTCAAAGAATTAAAATAATCGTCAAATTGTGTGTGTGTGTGTTTCTCTTTGTAGGGGAGGTTACTGCAGAATATATACCCTCCGGTAATCAAAAGTGGCCATGGAAAATACACCCTTTATACATAGATGATTTTCCTACTAAAACCATCATTTAGAGGAAATTTTCCATTGCCACCTTTGATTACCAGAGGGTATATCACATTTATTAACATATCCTCTGCTTATTTCGCTAATAGCTATGCAATTTGTGGCACCTGTTTTTGCACATGAAACAAGTCTGACTTACCGAGTCAGAATGGGTGACTTTCCACACCATCATCTCATCGCGACATCGGTGAACATGACACCTCTAACACAGCCGGTTATTTGAGGCATAGCGGACAAATCCCATGAAACATTACCCATAGGATCCATGTATGGTATATATGCTAACATTTGGGGGTATATTGATGGTAAAATATGGTAAATGTTACCATATATAGCATACATGGATCCTATCAGTTATGAACATCAACCATCCATAATATATTTTGGCCACGTGCCAGATACTCATAGAGGTAAACCCTCCATATACACTGACCACGTGCCAGAGAATAAGAGAGGCTTTCTGACATGATGAAGAGACATCAGTCTGGGTAAATTTTAAAAAAACATCACTAACCTCTGGTAATTTAACGTAGCTATTGAAAATTGCCATAGAAATAGTGGATTTACCCATTGAAAATGGTGAGTTTCCATAGCTATGTAAACGTTTACCAGAGGGTAACCTGAATCTTGCGGCCATAAAAGTGGATGATTTCCCTAGAATTCACCATGATTCCAGGCTTCGGGAGAACGACGGGTTCGTGTCGTGATTTAATTTACCTAGATCAGTCAACACTTCAATACTTCACCATTTCCCCGTTCTTGGATAATTATACTCCCCAACAAAAACTGGGTAGTATACCCTCTGGTAAACGTTTACATAGCTATGGCTATGGAAAATCCACCCATTTTTCATGGGTAAATCCACTATTTCTATGGCCATGGCTTCAATAGCTATGTTAGTTTACCAGAGGGTATATCCCATTAATATCCCATTAAATCACTATAAATCCCATTAAATCCCATTAAATCACTATAAATCATGGGGTTTCCCCAAACAAATAGCATCATCGAGAACTCATCATCAACCAAATCAACCAGCAGGGCTTTCGGCTTGAACCGCTGCCAAGAGACTGCCACCACTCCAAGTTCACGAACTTCGGCAACGAGGCCGGCGGCTCTGAACCCTCATCCGGCTTCGGCACTGGCACGGCACGACGGCACGGCCACCGAGGTCCACCGGGTTCCGACTGACACCATTGGGACCCAGGAATGTTCTGGTGGAATTCACCCGGAAAAATATAGGGATTTTCAACTGATTTTTTCATGCACCAAAAAATGGGCACATATCGGGAAAATTGCAGATTTTGGGGGGAACGAAACGGGGAATTTTACCAAGAAGAATGGGGATTTAACCCAAAATCGGTATTTAAATGGAGTGAACATGACTTAAGATGATTTAACAAACAAAAACTGAGACAATTGATGATGTAGATGGGGATTAATATGGAGATTAACATGTGGAATGCTACATCTGGGTTCATCGAAGAAAAGGATTTCGATACCGGATTGTATGGCAATGTTAATGGGGAAATCCTGATTGGTGGGGAAAAAAAAACTTTCTAATTTTCTATATGAAAACGTCCTCACCAAAATCAACATGACCCATGTTCACCTAACCTTCATCACTCGCTTGACCCTGTATTTGTGGGGGTACCCAAGTTTGCTCCATGTACTGGGTTTGTTTCAGGCACCATGTATAGGAAACCATGCTGTCTACATCTTTTTGCCATTAAAAAAGTGTTGTGACCATCCAAATTTAGTCGTCCCATTGACCATGGCTTTTTTAGACCGTCTTTCACACAATTCCTTGGGGCCAGTTATATTGAATCAGTATAATTGCATTTTCACCATTAATTGTATTTCTTGGGGCCAGTTATATTACTGATATTTACTAATTAATGATATACTTTCAACTGGTTGGTGGTATACCTACCCCTATGAGAAAGATGAGTTCGTCAGTTGGGATGATGACATTCCCAACTGAATGGAAAAAAAAGATCCAAACCACCAACCAGCATAGTTATATATCCCCATTGTTGTTGGTTTATACCCTATTACCCTCTTTTCATATCACTATTTTCCAGTCACCGCCAACCAGTACTGGTCAGTTTCCCTTCAATTCGGCCGGCCAGACGTGTCTCGCCATCTTTCTCTTCTGCGCATTCGTGGCGCGGAGATCGGCAGACCATCGAAAGTGCCAGTGTATTGGGACTGGGATAAACCAGCCATCCCAGATGGTTGGTTTATTGTTAAGTTATGTTGAGTCTAGCCAAGTTTATATATATATATACATATAATTATATATATATAGGTTATATGCTGTTATATACTGAAAATAAATAGGTCGATTAATCAAGATAGTTTTTGGGCAAAATTCTTCCATCCTGAAAGGGCCTGAAACAGCATGGAAATGGCACCAATGAAAATGGCGCCAAGATGCGCCCAGTACGTAAACTTCCTTGAATGATACAGTGACCGACCCACTTTCTCGTTGACTAACCCGTCATGCTCTGTAGGCTAGGGGGTTCCCAAGACACCTTTACTTTCGCCACTACCTTCGCAGAACTGCCGCGAAACTATGGAAAAAATTGGCGAACTCAGAGAATGAAACTGTACTCGGAGTTTTCGCTATGTTGGTGGGTGTGGAAAAGATGTTCAAGCCAAAAAGGGAAGATGCCCTGAACCAGATAGTTCCTAGCACAGAAATCAGCCATGTTTGATCCGTTTTGAGGGAGTCCCAAACGAAGGATCACTCGATCAATATATATATATATAACTGGATGTGAATCCCAACTAGTATGTGGCTAACCATGGGGAAAACCCTGTTATCTGTTAGTTACATGCGAGGCTCTTAAAATGATAGCAGCTCCAAATCATCCAAGCTTAGATTAGCCTTAAAATATGTTGTTAGTAAATATGTAGTAAATGCCAAACTGAGATGTGAGATGTATCATCCAAACTTAGATCATCATCTGAATACCAACCTTAAAACTGTATATAAAAAAAAGTATTAAAAAAAACACCAGGAAGTTTCGAAAAATTATCCACTTGCACCACAGCCACGGGCACCTGGTACATATCCTGGAAGCCAACCTCCGCTGAAAAGACCATGGAGAGAATGGGGATACAATGGGTTTATGGTTCTGAAAAGTCCTGAAATCAACGAGAAATGGAGAATCTATAGGGAGATTTATGTAGGGATGTATTTATAGGGTTTTATAGGCATATATTAATTGGAATTTCAATACGACACCTTAGGATTTAACCAACAAACATTGGGGGAAATTGGATGTTAACCATGATGGATGACGGGATACTTGCTGCAAGGTGCACATCACGGCTGGTGAAATTCAGTTCAGCGGATATAACGAGTATAAACCAACGACCATCACTGGGGGTCCCCCTCCCGAAACATCATGAAACAGTAGGTGCGTAGGTGCTTTATAAGCCATACATCACCCATAGGGTAGGTGCTTTATAAGCCATACATCACCCATAGGGTAGGTGCTTTATAAGCCATACATCACCTATATCATTGAGGATCTTCTATATATGTAGCTGGCGCGCAAAATATGGCCATATGTCGCCCGGCTATGGGATTCAAGAGATCCTCCTGCTTTGTCGACATTGCAATGACATGTGCATCTAGGAATATGCCTCATCCATTCTTCCATGACATCAAATTATTAAGTAAAAGATAGATATATAATATGTATAATCGTATAATTATGTGTACATGTATGTATATATAATCATATATAATTATATATGCAGTATATATACACACACACGTAATTCATCACTGTTTTAGTAGGATGTTACTTGTCTATCTTCTTGGGGTTGCTGTTTTAATCAATTTCAGAACACAATTTCATGCTGGATGATCAATGATAACCCCCCGTTATCTACACCCAACCAAAGTTTACTTGCTGCTTCAATTCTACATTTCTTCCTGTTTTTTGTCAGAGTTTCTCCAGGTGAACCTGCTGCAGTTTTGCGTTCGTTTTTCATACCCACTGGGGGATCCCATTGTTGTTCCCCGGTCTCCATGGTTTTTCTGCTTAAAACCACTCACGACTTTGCTGGGCAAAGTCGTTGCAGTCGCAGGGCCGAGTTGCTTGGCGCTCTAGGCGATTCTTCTCCGCCGTACCAGTAGGGATTCCTGCGGAAATGACAAGCGGTTATGAATAAACAATCGGGCTGTTTATCGGACTACTACTAACCCTATGATAAACATACGTAACTCACCCTCTGGTAAACTAACATAACTATGGAAAAGCACCATTTTCAATGGGTAAATCCACTATAAATGTGCCATTTTCAATAGCTATGTTAAATTACCAGCGGGTATTTATATAACTCTATCATTGATTTACCAGCTGATAAACTTTTATAAAAGCTTATTTATGATCGAGTAACTAAGTCGACCCATAATCATGATATCTGGGTAGATTATATGATATTATTTATATACCAAGCTGAAATAAGATCATGGTTACAGTTCTCCAAATAATCTATTTCACTCACCAATAATTCTTCACTAAGTATGATATTATATACTAAGTATTAATAAGCATTAAGCTTATCAAATATTGTTTCACTATCCCAATAGTCTTTCACTAACCTGAATTTTGTCGGCTCTCCTTGGGGTCAAGTTCGCCCAATCCCAAGCATCCCACGTCACAAGTTGTGAGGTCAGTATTTCTTTTATCCGCATTTGATGCTGATTCAAGGGGATGTGTATACCCTGGGGTAAACTATATAACATAGATGTGAAAAAAAAGAAAAAACCTGGTTTCCCCTTCGGAACATGCTCTACAAATGGTGTGTTTTTCCACATTTATTTTGGTTCACGGGAGTGTAACCAACAAACATGGGGATGGGAATTTCCCTCTGGTAATTTAAGATAGCTAAATGTGATCATGGTGCAACATAGCTATGGTAGTTTAATTTCGCTAGATTGATTTGGGGTGGGGCAGGAAGATGGGATTATGGGAACTTGGCGAGACGATATTTGGTATCATTATGGGATAGTTTTGCATAGTGTAACATAGCTATGGAAAATTATCTATTTGCAAAACTTATGCAATGTTTGGTATCATTATGGGATAGTTTGATGATTTTTGCATAACATAGTGTAACTATCTATTTGCATAGTTTGATGATTTTTCTTAAGCCTACCCTGCACGCTAAAAACGCGAAAGCAGCAGCTTAAAATTTGCTAGTTTGATGCTTTACTTGTCAAAATGTGAGTGTCCATAGTTATGCAGAGTTACGTTAAATTACAGGAGAGTAAAGGAAAAGTGAATTCTTGTAAATGTGGATTTACGACAAGTATTGATTTTCACTATATACAAATGCAAGGAATCCACATTTCCACTGGAATCCAAGAGGCCACATATTCAGATTTTCACAGAAAGTTGAAGGATTCAGAAATCTGCAGGGAAGCATGGTGACCCCAAGCTAGTAGGTTCCTATCGATTTTCCCAAACACAAATCCTGGGGAAAAAAAAAAACAGCTATTGGCTTGCTGGAAAAAAAAAGGAAGGTACAGTAGACTTTTCGTGAGTTTTCGACCTTACCCTCTGGTAATTTAACAGTTATTGAAGCCATGACCATAGAAAGTTCGTGGATTTTCCCATGAAAAATGGGTGGAATTTTCCTATGTCATCCCAGGGTATCCAAATGGGTTTCAAAAAACAACGACCTGCTATGGAAAATCACCATTTTTTGTAGGGCTACCTATGGAAAATCACCATTTTTTGTAGGGCTACCTATGGAAAATCACCAAAATCACCATTTTTTTGAGGGATTTTAGGGCTAAGTCATCATAAATCATCGAACAAAAAAAAGAAACATCTATGCCATAGCTACGCAGCTACGTGAAATAGCCAGAGGGTGTATTATTAATGATTGACTAAAGCATATTAAATATTGTGTATATATATATATACAGAATACAAATATATATATATATCATCTTTGTAGTATCATCATGTCTACACCCATTATGGTCTGTAAATATCCCCAATATACCCATTGGCTGACTATACACCCATTATAACCATTATTAATTAAATTATATATATATGTGCACACACCTACCATAACCAGTATATTAGCATCCCACTGTATATACTATATATACCCATTACAATCGTTACAATATAGAATAACTATATAGAATTAGTGCATCCTCCCAAGCCCTGAGCTGCGCCTCATTCCTCCCTTGACGCCCATGTAGATCCGTTTTGAGCTCCTCCGGAGCAATGAAAACACCATGAGAAAAGCAGGTCTTAGCTTGCAGGACCCGATCATCTTCCCATGTTAGGCTTCAAAATGTTCAGAAACTGGAAATCACACCACATTAGCGATGAGCGATTATCTAACATAGCTCCATTTCTTCTTAGCGACAATCCCATATCTTACTATCATCTAATATAATTTACTTGTGCTAACATGATATATGATGATATAGTTGGTCAAGAAACCAATGATATATGATGATATATATATATGATGATATATGATATATGATTTTATATGATGATATAGTTGGTACGGTATGATGAAAATATGTTAAGATGTTGGGGTACCTGAAATTTACCCCTCACCTAATCACAGTCCCGGGCTGCCCCAGCTCCTCTGATTGCGCTTCAGTCCCTGGAGAAATCGCTGCGATTAGTGGATTTTCAGGAACCCCTGGTAGCTACCTCCAATAAATCGCTTCCTGAAATGGCCATTGAATGCCATTGGGAACTTGTTTTTCAGATGCTATGAATGGTCCATGAAATTCCATGAATGGATATCATCTTCTGGAATTGTCCTTGCCATGTGAGACCAAAGAGTACAGCTGGGGGTGCCCACTGGCTAATTGTTGATACGAACTAACCTTTAAAAAATGTGAGTGTGTCTAGGTGCTGTGGTCTGTTTGCCTGACAGGCCCCAACCCTGAAACATGCCGAAACTATTTCTCAATCTCTTGGTGCGATTTAAGAAGCGTACTCTATTCGCAAAGCAGTGCAGCAAATCATGCTAAATCTTGCGCCACTGCAGTTGATTTTGCAGTGATTTATTGATTGACCTTAATCATAAGAAGCAATTTGTTGATATGGTTCTACCTTCAATAGCATCGATGGCAAACAAAACATTGAACTACGTGTACGCTTCACCAGCTTTGCCCTTGAATAATCATCATTTTTTCTCCTGGCTGTACAAAAATCCTCCGTCAAAAAAAAAACGTGTTTCTGATGTGATCAAAACAAATCTGAGGTCATCGTTAATATGACTAGCCAATAATCATCATCCTCTTGTTTCAAATCATCCAATAACCAATCATCACCAACAATAAATCCCATAAATAACATACACTAGTCATCCTCCAATAACCCTCACTTTTTTCAAATCATCCAATAACCAATCATCACCAACAATAAATCCCATAAATAACATACACTAGCCAATAATAACCACTGATAATATATATATATAATTCATATAATAACCAACACTAAAATCCCATGCCAAGCCATCCTCCATTTCTTCTGGGTTCATCCCGCCTTGACCAAGGCGCCACGTCCCAGCGTCCTGGCTTCAACAATCTTCAACGTCTTAGCCAGCTGCAAATCCATGGGAGGAGGTTGCTGGGTTGGTTGGAAGACCTAACTGTGGGTTTCCTAAGTCATCAATGAAGCAATCATAAATTTTGGCCAATTTCAACCTAGAACTGCAAGGTGCCTTACATTTAGACCCATCCATCGACGCTGATTCGAGAAAGCACCTGATGGCTACCGCAGCCCCCAAGATGATAGCCTCAGGCCGGCAGGTACCCCAAACATTCAAGCAATGCATTTGCCATTCTTTGGGTGGTTTTAGAGAACCTGTTGTCAATAAACTGATGTTGGGGTTTATTGAGCATGTTTTTTGATATGACAAACCCATGCAAACACAATTGTAGTATATTATAGTGATTATATAGATAAATAATGATAAATATCAGCAAAAATAGGATGAAGTAAAGCCATTCCCCCATATGTTTCCGCTTGTGGGTTGGTATTCTATCTACGGTTTTTGGCTGGAGCACCCCTCAGATCCCCAAGCGGCTTGGATATTGGTGGATGCGCCGTGCCCTCCTGTTTCTTTTCCAAAATGAAGTGAACAGATTCTGTTGACAAGTTCACCCACCGACTCTTGGGCGATCTCAAAGTGTCGCCCAATGATCCCAGATGATCCCAGATGATCCCAGGGCGCCAGAATCCACACGGAATCACGGTCCATCGCCCTGGTTTGTTGATTCCATCGCGGTCCTAGTCCTCAAAAATATTCCCAAAATATAAAAACTCACCCAGTTGGCTATGGCTCAAAGTTCTTGGTCTTAGAGTTTTAGCCTCTGAAAATGCTAGGGCACCCCGAAATCCAATGGGCTGCCATCATTTACCAAAGTGCGATATCGTGGGGGGCATATTCCATCTTTAGACACACCCAAACATCAGACATTGTTGCTTATACATATGTATTGTATATATATTTATATATGTGTATGTGTGTGTGTCTCATCATTCTATGTATATATACTATATATATACTACATATGTGTATATATATATACATACACTATATATATATATGTACTATATATAGTACGTTTGCCACCTTTTTTTGCTAACAAAATCCCCAAGAGAAAACCCGTTTCTCCAAGAAACTGCGCACATCCAGGTGTTGGAACCCAAGAGATCATCCTGGAGGTATCCCTATTGTTTGGATGGTTTTTATCATGGGAAATCCTATGAAAATCCGATGGAAAATGGATGATTTAGGGGAACCCACGATTTTTTGGATGGGTTATGTCATGGAAAATCCTGTGAAAATGGATGATTTAGGAGCCCTATTTTAGGAAACCTCCATTTTCTGTGTTGGAAAAACCCATCATTGTTGGGTAGAAAGATGGGATAATTTTGTAGGAACCATTGAGATGTCCTAGCCGTGCGATGTCCATGGCATCAGATATTAGGGCTAGTGTTGGATGGAATAATCATGGGTTAAGTTCATGTTGGAAATGTTGGATAACAACAAAGCCCTACAAAACCCATGGGAATATTGGGATAATAATGGGAATATGGAGATTTCCGAACAATCCATGGGATAGTTCTCAGATATTTTTTCGGATCAGTTTGCCATGTTTGCCTTAAGGTAAAAATGCGCAGTAAAAAATCATGGAGTTTGGTTTAATAGTTCTTTCCTGCAAAATGTGCTTCATCAACGTGATTTTCTTGGACGCCTTAGCCTGATGACTTGACTTTGGCAGACTCCCATGGCTACTTGATACTAAAAGAACCTTTTTTGGGCGTAGTATCTCTCCATATGTAAATATAGAGTACCACCTATACCCTACATAATATCCAATCATATACGTAATTAAGTATAATAAACTGTAATATATATATATATGTATATATATATATGTATATATATTGTTATATTATTAATATGTATCCCCACTTCTGTCCAAAGATAAAACCGTTTTCATCTAAGAATCTAGCTTTCACCTTTCATAGCACGGCACCCTCCCGCAGATCCTGCACGTTCAGCTTGGGGGCAGTGACGCCACTGATGCCTTTGCCATCGAGCTGCTGGACAGTCTATCCAGCTTTCCACACCGCAGTTCGGTGCCCCGGGTTCCCATGGGTTCCCCGACCCACATGCGCTCGTGGCTGCACGTTCAGGGCTGTCAGAGGCGTGCCTAGAGCCGCCATTGCCCATGGATTGATCAACGGCTGTCGACGGATGATGGGAAGCGACAAAAAGTTCGGAAGAACCACGGTCACCACCACCACAACAACAACAACCACCACAACGACAACGACAACGACGACGACGACGACGACGACGACAACAACAACAACAACATGCAACATGCAACACGCAACACTGGTACAAGGGTATTACCCAACAAAAATAGTGATATGATATGATGTGATATGGCAAAACTTAATAGGATAATTCATATTATGTCGTTTCTGCTAAACAACAAGGTGCAGTGCAAATAACCAATCTCAGCAATCAGAAATAAGTAAATAATAAAAGTTGGGGTGAAAAGAACAAACACCAAACCAACCAGTGTCATTTGCCAGAGCCCACAAACACAACTGCAGATGCGTCAAAAGACAGGACTTGCGCAGAGTCTACCAGAGTCTACCATTTACCGTAGTTACAAAGTAGTTCTTTCCAACACAAGTTTTAGGGCAACGCAGCGGGTTAGGAACAGGAAAACCTGTGACCACACACAAGTCGACTACGTTTGTTCTCCCTCCCCATTTCAGCAGCGTAACGTAGATTCGAACATCTGGGTTCGGGCCAAAATCATTGTATCCAAGAATCGGCTTTTGAAAGACAATAACTTTGACAGGTAAATGTCCCATATGTTGTTTATTCTTATCTACACTGGTTGGTCTGAAAATAGGGCACCCTCAAATGTGATGCTTCAACAAGTTCAACACCTCGTCTTCCCCATTCAGATGGTTATTTTGGGATATTTTCGGGGGCCATTCCACCATCATCAGACCCATTCACTGCCCGGGGTCTTTCAAGGCACCTGGTGCGCGGACTTCCATTTTGGATCGATTCAAGCTACCTGCGGTCACGCTTTGGAAACAGGTCGGTAACCGATTCAAGGCTTCACAAGTTGAATAGAACCCCTGCGGAATTTTTCGGAACGCATGATCAACAAGAAAATACAAACATCTCCGACACTCCAAAAAATCCCCATCACGAGGGCTGTAGCATCGTGGTCAAAGCTTGAATCTGGCATCTTCTGCCAATCCATTTAAAAAAACACTCAATCAAATTGAGAGCAGCATCCTCGCACTTGAACATCATCACAAAGGCTTGGTCCAAAGTTGATGAGGCCTACTGGTCCTCGCGCTTTTGCGGCCATTGGGATCAACATCCTATTTCTATGGTTAAAAACAAAACCTGTCTGAAAGCATCAATTAGCATAAGACCATTGGTTGTATACCCAAAAATCATCATCTCCCCATGAATCATCTCTATCCGTCACCCATTTAAATCCCAGTGAAAAAAGATCGATGTTTTTTTCACCATAGTTAAATTCACAGAATTGGATGATGGGAAAATTTACTGGAAACCCCTATATTCGATGGTAAAAACCATGGGTTTCCTGAAGATTTTCCCTTAATCCATGGTGAACAATTCCCCTATGTTTGATGGTTTTTTAAACCATGGTGAAATCACTCAGATCCCACCTGGCAGCAACCAAGCGCTGCTGAAGATCCGCTTGAGCCGAGCCCAGCGGACTGGAGAAACCACGATGCAAACTGGGTTGTTTCCATGGGAAATCCTATGAAAATCCTGTGGAAAATGGATGATTTAGGGGAAATCCTATGAAAATCCTGTGGAAAATGGATGATTTAGGGGAAATCCTATGAAAATCCTGTGGAAAATGGATGATTTAGGGGAACCCCTATTTTTTGGATGGGTTATTTCATGGAAAATCTTATGAAAATGGATGATTTAGGACCCCTAATATTGATATAATATGATGTATTGCGATTTTTTATACCAATGGAATAGAATATGACAATAGATGATAAATATAATTTAGCAGAGTTTCAAACGCTTCCCACAATAGAGCCCCCTCGTCAGGCTCCTATAGACGGAAGCCTTGAAGCCTTCCGGGATTCAGCAAATATACAATGCTATTTTATACCAATGGAATCGGGTATGACAATAGATGATAAATATAATTTAGCAGAGTTTCAAACGCTTCCCACAATAGAGCCCCCTTGTCAGGCTCCTATAGACGGGAGCCTTAAATTAAAGCCTTCTGGGATTCAGCTAATATATAATGCTATTTTATACCAATGGAATCGGGTATGACAATAGATGATAAATATAATTTAGCAGAGTTTCAAACGCTTCCCACAATAGAGCTCCCTTGTCAGGCTCCTATAGACAGAAGCCTTGAAAGCCTTCTGGGATTCAGCTAATATATAATGTTATTTTATACCAGTGATAATGCTATATATATATACTAATATATAATAATATAATGCTTTAATATATATTTAATTAATGCTATATTTCATGGATAATCGTGAATGGTAGTCGCAGATTAGAATCTTGTTTGGATAGACTGATCGACTCTGCTATTTTTGTGAGACCCTCTCAGTTCTCAGCAAGAATTCTTGTCAAATCCACTTCTTTGCAGACTCCCGTGGGGCGCTCTTGGGTTCATTTTTCTTTGATTCCCAGTAATTGTCCTTCATTTGTTTGCCCAAAATCAACCACAACCAACCAAAAAGTTTCCGATCATCATCAATCAACCATGAACCAAGCCATTTTTTTGCCCAACGCATGAAACGCCTTGTAGGCCCTCAGGGCATCATCTTTGGACGCCCCTGCCAGCTCCGAACGCGCCACGAGGTCCCTCTCCCACTCGTGCGCGAAGCTTGCTCCGTCAGCCCAGGCGAAAGCGTCGGGAGGGAGGCTGGGGAAGCTGTCGGCCAGCCACCTGCGGCTGATGAGTTGAATGGATAGATCTGGGAGTGGCTTATGTCTTTGTGGTTTTTGGATGTTTTTGGATGGATCTGGGGCTGATGTATTATGTAATGAACCTTAGGTTTTAGCACCCATCTTTGGTGATTTTGGGGATGATTTATTCAATTGGATTTAAACCACATTAAAATGTTGTGGGATACAGTGTGTAGTGGCGATATTCTACTATGAAGGCCGGCAAGATGATAATGTGATATCGGATACCGGTGTGTCCCAAAGATGAAGGGTATCTAAACATGACAATTGATATCCTAAGGTCCTAAATTGTATTTTTGCGGAGTAAATGATGATAAGCCATGATAGACCATTGGAATTTGGGGTATGCCAGATTTTTTGTCAAACCTAAATGGAGGTAGGAACACAGATTGGAGGGACACCCACATTAGGCAATGATGCCGTGGGAAAGGTTGGAGAGACGAGATTGGGACTGCTGTTCAATGGCCTAGTAGTCATAATTGGATTAGTAGTGGGAATATAATGGGATAATCACTGTTTTATAACGGAGATACTAGAAATTCAGTGACAGTGAACACATTAATCTAATGGGATGCAATCTCTGATTCGCATAGCTGCCGTATGTGTATGTATGTATGTATGTATGTATGTATATATATATATATGTTTATATATCAAACATATATATATGTGATGATGATGATGATGATGAGGATGATGATGATGATGATATCATTAGTATATCTAATTATTATTGCCAAAATTAGTATAATTCTGTATATGTACATATATATATATATGATATATATATATATATATTTGTATATGATATATGATATATATATATGTATCATTAGTATATCTCATTATTGTAATGTTGAGCATTTAGAAACCACACTACAAATACCCATGGTTTTTGATCGTGACTTCGCCTGCTGAGTTGCTCCTTGGTCCACGACTTCGGCGGCACTTCGGACCACGTCTTGCTGCGGCGTTGCTGCGCCAAGGCCGCCTAGCGCGAATGACGGGGTCATCTCAGATACAGAAGCTGGGGTATGACGGTATAACCCAAAATGTTCATGGAATATGAAGTTCCGAAAAATGGGAGGTGGTCTGTTTTTGGTGGGTTCATAAAATGGAAGATTCTGATTACTGATTAACTAGATATTAACATATTGGGGGGTCTTAAAATGGGACTCCAAAATCATCCAGAATCATACCATAGTATAGAATACTATAGATATATCAGATATATGTACCATTTTTTTTAGTTCGATATGTATCAGAAACCTGAGTGTTTCACTGGAGAAACTGTGTAGTAACTTAGCCAACTACGGGGCACCACCAAACGTAGCGCCCCCAAACGAGGGATGGGATGATTTTTTGATCGCCAGCGATGACTGGGGTAACTACCGGTAACTGGTTTTATTTGATGATTACCCTCTGGTAAACTAACATAACTATGGAAAATCACCATTTTTAATGGGAAAACTCACTATAAATGGCCATTTTCAATAGCTATGTTAAATTACCAGAGGGTATAACAACTTTAGATGGAATAACATGGATATTCCAGCCCGGAATAAATTAGGGACTTATACCAACCATGCTTACTATCGGTTGAAGTTTAAGTCAGTCTATCACAAAATCAATCTGGTGTGCATGCTCCATTGGTTTGTGGACGCTGATTTTGTCTTTCTGAAAGCCCATGGAACTTCCACTGGTGTTGCTGTCTCTCGGGTTAATTGTGTAGGGGTACTCGGTGTTGGGAGCAAAAATATTCCCCATTTTTGTTGGAAAATATCTACAAAATGGATCATTTACTCCACAATGGGAATTAGCCTCTAGTAGTTTGTTACACAGTGGAAAATCCACCATTTTCTGTGAACCATCAATGGCCATGTTCCATGGCTATGTTAGTTTACTGAAAGATATTAAGTCTTTAAGTCATCTCAATTTTAGTTGGTAAAGTTCCCAGTCTTTGCTGCTGAACCCCGCATTTTCTTGTGCTTTTGATATGGGGATCACCATCCGCCACCGCATCGGAGCCTTGAGAATGTCTCCAGCCATGAAGGTGTGTAGTGAATGAGCCATCCTCAGATCGTGACGATCGAGCGGAAATGCCGTGAGTAAGTTTAAATCTATAATGACAGTTATAATGATATAGTTATAATGATAGTTACAATGATAGTTATAATGATAGTTATAATGATAGTTGTAATGATAGTTATATAACTCATAATACCGGATAGCGATCATTCAGAAAGTTTCTATGTCAAAAACATCGGGGGTTAAATCTGTATTTGGGGATTATTCCACTCTGGAAAACGTCAAGCCGTGAGGAAGTCCCAAGTAGCTGCTTAGCTTATATATCACATATTACATGTAAATTAGTATATACATATGCATGTATATATATACCATAAATATCTGCACATATATACACATACATATCGCATACGTATAAAGTTATATAAGATTGTATAACTACGTTGAAAACAAGGTTATACCAGAGCAGTTAAGTGGGATGAATGTCTCCAGGCCCCAGCCTTCACAGCAGAGAATCTGTTGGCTGGACGGATGCACATGTGCCATCCAGATGACCCGTGAGCCTTGCGGCCCTTGCGGAATGAGCACGCCTTCCAAGAGCCTGGTCCCGATAGGGTGGATCCAAGGAATCTAAATGATGACCCGGCCTGGTAAACGAACGCTTTGCGAACTGGAAAATGACCATAGAAATAATGGATTTACCCATGAATAGTGGGTGGATTTTCCATAGCAAACCGTTAGTTTACCAGAGGGTACCAAAAAAAGACTGTTGATAGGTGGTTTATCCCATGATTTTCACGGGATTGTTTTTTGGATTTATGGGGTTTCAACTATCCAAGTGCGGTGGAGAAGTATGAAACACTGGGATAATCATGGGATTATAACGGGCGGGATGTTTATCATCTACCAACTGGTGCAGGATTTCGCCACTATCCACAGACAGCTTGACACATTTCATCTGGAACATCCCACACGTCAGATTGGGATGATAACAATCATTAGCATCACTACTATGTTCATACTATCATCATCCTCATCATCATCATCATCATCATCATCATCATCACCATCATCATCATCATCATCCCATGGAAATAGATCGCTATTACCATGTATTACCATCATAAAAGACCATTATCAGTTACCATAACTATCATCATGATCGTTGATATACGATATCATAATGGTGATAGTTATGATCATACCATAATATCTTAAGTGTCATCTTGAATGGTGATTAATTGTTGTTATTACATGTTATTACGCTATTCGACAATGAATGATCAGAAGTGTGACTGGGACATAAACATTATTTGCCAATGATCATGATTAACTGTCACCCAGTCGACCTCGCCTGGTGATGGGTGTCCGTCTCAGAGGCACGTGACATGTCGCCTTTTCCGCCACACATCGCACGCACTCGTGCAAACATGCCAAGGACCAGTTGATCGCCTTGGCCTGCGAAAAGAAAAAAACCGCCCATCTTGGAAACCCATCAAAGAGATGACTGTGTTGTGGTCACACCAGTATTGCTTAGTAAGATTTAGTGTGACTTATGATTTCCTGTGATTCCTCCCCTCACAGGGGCTTCATCCTCAGTTTGTCCCTACCATTGCCATTGCACCAACCGCCAAAAATGGCAGGAAACAAAAGCAAGTCTGGAGGATGTGTGGCAAAACAGTTGCCAGGTGCGGTGTGCACCGGGTTGCTGTGCTGATGCATGTGCACAGCAAGAAACCCAAGCAGATCGTTTTTTTCACATGCATCTTCATTTTGAAGAGCAGCAAAAAAAGGACAAAAAAAGTTTGCATGAAGACTGTAAGGCCATATGCCAAATAGTATGCAAGCATATATATATATAGGTAGAAAGGAATTCAGAGTGGAAGAATATGTGCCAAATAAAATGCCAGGCAGAATTCCAAAATGGGCTTAAGATCTTCAACCTGGACATGCCCATGTTGCAGATGCAGCAGGATTCATGATAATTTCTGCAAGCAACAAGATTTCAGATCTCCAGCATGTTCATGCTGAAAAGATGGTAGCAAGATCTATGCAACCAAGAAGAATGCAGAAAAGGAGAAGGAAAGAGTTGGTGTAAGTTGGTGTTTAAGGGGAACCACCGCCAAGAAGAAGAAAGCAGAAAAGAAGAAGAAAGGGAGTTGGTGTTTAAGGTGAACCACCACCAAGAAGAAGAGCAGAAAAGAAGAAGAAAGGAGGAAAAACATAGGAAATGAATCCCAGATGTTTCCCTTCCTTTTCGTTGCTAACCCCCATGTTTTGCTTACCATCCCACGTGAGGCCCATGGCTGCGATATAATTTGCCCATCACCATCTGGGCAAAATGCAACAGTTCGCGAACTAGAATATCATATAACTGGTGTGGTGAAACCATCAATCATCCATTTTAATATGATTTTCCATTATAAACCACCCATGTTAGGAAACCTCCATATATCTATATATATATACATATATATATATATATAATATTGGTAAATTATAATGATTCATTCACCTGAATCTTGCGGCCATAAAAGTGGATGATTTCCCCCCTAAAAAAAACTCACCATGATTCCAGGGTTCGGTCGCAGTGAGGTCGTTATAATTTGAGTTGCCCACCCTTGCCCCTATGTTCCTTTTCCGCGCACCAGCGGTGCACCAATACCCCCCTCCTGCACCAAAACGGCCAAAGCAGTCTTAAGACAAACGGGGGGTCTACAACTTATAATTTACCCAACAATACTTCAATACTTCACCAGCTCCCCGTTCTTGGATTATTATACTCCCCAATATACTGGGTAGTATACCCTCTGGTAAACTAACATAGCTATGGAAAATCCAACCATTTTTCATGGGTAAATCCACTATTTCTATGGCCATTTTCAATAGCTATGTTAGTTTACCAGACGGTAATCATTAGATTTTTTTCTTGGGTGGTTTTAGGAGTTTTTTGGTGGTCTTACAAGCCAAACATGATTTGGATATGATAGGAGATGTTCTTTTCACAGTAAGCTGTGATTCCAAAATGTTCTTCCATATACCCTCTGGTAATTTAACATAGCTATTGAAAATGGCAATCTATAGTGAGTTTTCCCATTAAACATGGTGATTTTCCATAGTTACGTTAGTTTACCAGAGGGTATCCTCAACCAACAGGGGCTTCGATCACTGCCAACCTCCTCCAACAACTTCGTGCCATGCTTCTGCCGGTCGCTGGCGCGTTCCGATCCCGCAAGGTCCACCAGCATCACCTGAAAACCCGTGGGGAAACTTACCTCTCTGCAAATATAAAATACCAATTTTAAGGGATGGTGAATATATGTTATATATTGTTATATTATTAAAAAGAATGTGTTGTTATATCTGGATATATATTGTTATATGAGTTATATATATATGTATGTGTGTGGTTGTTGAACAAATTCCTGCATCTGGAACCAGAATTTCTTTGCAATGACCTTCAAATCAACCACCAAACCATGTATACATATATATATATGTGTAATTCAATACTAATAATAACAATAATAGTGTATATAATGTACATAATTACACTATAGGTTAGTATCAACCATTTAAAGCTATATATGATCCTAAGATTTATTGGTACTGCAACTGCAATCCTAAGATTTATTGGTACTGCAACTGCAAATTAATTTCATGCTGCATGTCATTGTTGGCAAAATCCCAAGTGTTGATGGTTAATGAAACCATGGTTTAGCAGGGGATAGAATCACATATTCGGGACCATGTAATATGGGAGTGTTTGATATTGGGATGGGATTGTTCCCATCATATTGCTGGCAAATATTCCAATGATGTTCCCTTTCAAAATGATTTTCTGATGTATGATGATTCAAATGATGATGTACCCTCTGGTAATTTAACATAGCTATTGAAAATCACCATTTTTTATGGGAAAATCCACTATTAGTGGTAACATCCCCAGTTTTGATGCTTAGCCCCAAGTTTTTCACATCAACTCGCCACATGTCGGACCATTCCCCCTGGGATTTAACCCTGGGATTTTCGACCGTGACCATCATGAAAAACACGACGTGATTTTAACGTGGCAACCGGTGCAGTCTTTTGAGTGGAATTGAATGGAATTGATTTACCAACAAGACATCTAGATTGACCATGAAAACTCGGGATTTAACTTCAAACTGGGCAACGTTGGAAAACCACAACAGGGAAAATCATGATAAAGAAAGAGATTTAGGGGAATCATACATGCAAGCCTAAGCACTAAATAATGTAACAATTAGAAGTTGGAAGACAGAGAATCTATCATGAAATTTGAAGTCAGGGTATGCCGAAGTCTTTTTGGGAATATTATGGGTTTTATATTGTGCATATTATATAGGCTATAGCAGCTAAAGTTAGCTAAAGATCAAAAGAAAGGTGTTCTGAAATCATATGAATACAAAGGAATCTTCGGCACTGGTTTTTTTTTTAAAGGGGGTCGAAGTTTTTTATGATGTATTCCATTAAAACCACCCCATTTTCAACCCCCTTGGAGCCAATCCTGTTGGAATATGCAAAAACAGGATTGGCTCCAGGCTCCAAGGGGATTGAACTGATCTAACAACATACAAGCAGCACAAAAATTGCTGCGTGTTGAAATCTCAGCAATCCCAACGAATCAATTTTTTTTGGGCTTCATAACAATACAAGCTGGTGTTCCATAGTTCACGAAGTTGGTGTTTAAGTCCAAAAACTCAGGTTTATGATACATACCCTTTGGTAATTTAACATAGCTATTGAAAATGGCTATTTATAGTGGATTTTCCCATGAAAAATGGTGATTTTCAATAGCTATGTTAAATTACCAGAGGGTATAACATATGTCAATCAGATTTCAATAGTTGATGGGGGTCAAAGAAACAACTTATATCCATCCAGTAGATTCAGTCTTTTCCCGTTGGCCTGCCATGGGAAGGAATTTGGAGTGGTTGATTTGAGCGGCCAAAAATTCAAATGAGTGATGAGTAGATATAGCATTTAGTTTCTATATGCTCGTTGATTGTTGTCCTGGGGGAGTAGGCTCTGGGAATTTCACATAGCTCTCTATTTATGGCCCTTGAGTTCGTTGATTGACCTCAATTGACCTCTCAAAAATGGTGATGGTCCATAGCTTTTCTACCTTTACCGGAAGGTCATCAGCAAATTTTGTTGCGACTCGCTACAGAGATGATCACCAAGCCTTAGGAGAGAAGGGCATCTGCCTTAGGAGGACCCTAAATCAACCACCATCAACCAGCAAGGGCCAAGCATTAGCACATGTCAACCCCCTTAGTAAACTGGTGCTTAGCTGGATAACTTCTATTAACCTCTGGTAATCCAAGATTAGAGCATGTTATAGCTATGAAAAAAAACACCATGTTCAAAAAAACGGTCAATCATCAACTCCCAAATGGGCCATCTATACCATTTCTTATTAATTATTTAGTATCATCAACCTGTCACCATTCTGGTCAATATCCAAATAATAAATGTGGGATTTTGCTAGAATGTTGGTAAGATTTGGGAAAGCAATAATCAATTCATCAACCATCCACATTTTTTTACCATAATGGATTCCACCCATCAATCTGATCAATCCTGATCTGGCTGGCTTATGATGCAAAAACCCTCCGGTTTTATCAAGCATGGCTTGCTGGAAAATACACTATTTTTATAGGTGATTGTCCTATTGAAACCCCATTTCTAGTGGATTTCCAATTGCCACGTTTCATTACCGGAGATCCGGAGGTTATGTTTCTTCCAACATCATATTCGAACAGCCGCCCATTTCGGCACCTGACAGCCCCGGCTTCGCAGCACGACCACCAGATGCGTCCGCGAGGACTTTGGGCTCTGCTCGGTGGCTGTCGACGCACGCTGGGCGGAGGCCGTGGCGAGGTGACGGTCGAGGTCAGAGGCAGAGTGGATGGGGTAAAACCTCGGCAAATCAAGGGGATCGAATTGATGAATGATGGTTGAATGATGGTTGAATGATGGTTGAATGATGGTTGAACGATGGTTGAATGATGGTTGAATGATGGTTGAATGATGGTTGAATGATGGTTGAATGATGGTTGAATGATGGTTGAATGGTTGATGATTGGGATTATACCATCCTTTATCTTGGGATTATCACTGAATTATTGATGAATGACGGTTATACAGTTATACCCCCACCACGGAATGATTCTGATATACCATAAAGGGATCAGAATAGAATGAATAGAATGATGATTATACCAATCCTAAAAACATCTTGGGGATTATCACAAGATATGAACCGTGATAGCCAGTTGGTCCAGTTGGTTGATGATTATGAGTAGTTTATGGTGATTTAACTTTAACCATCATTGATCTTGGGTTTTAAGCATGAAACATCATGAAACATATGGGGAAAACTGATAAATCTTGGCTGAATGCGATGCTTACTGGGTGCTGAGCATGAATTATAGGGTATAGGCTTTCTATAAGGGTTCAACTATCAAAGTGGAAATTGTTGAGAAATGATGATTGGTTGATATAATTAGGGGGTTATACTAACTGGCATCTTGGGAATTATTACAACCCATACTGGTTGGTGGTTGACCTACCCCTCTGAAAAATATGCTCGACAGTTGGGGTTACTATTCCCAATATATGGAAAGTCATAAAAGCCAAATGTTCCAAACCACGAACCAGCATAGTTATATATTCCCATTGTTGTTGGTTTATACCCTATTAACCACTATAAATATCACTATTTTCCAAACCACCAACCAGCATAACATTTACTAACCAAATTGGATCATTTTTCATGGCTCACATCTCCAGGAGATGGTGATCAACAACTGTTGTAGCAGAGCAGTTTGTTGCGCCCAGTTCTTTAAGCGAAAGCTATGCACCAAGAAAAGCAGGGATAGTATAGTATTGTATACTTGGAGATATATCCTGAGATATTTAATGAGATATTTATAAACATCTGACCTGGTGATACAACAGACCAAACTCCTCGGGGCCAGGGAATTTTGACCAAAAAACCTGGGATCGTTGGGGTTCCAAGATCCATAAAACATCGACAAATAATAAACTACCCTCTGGTAATTTAACATAGCCATGGTATAGATGGCCCATTGAAATAGATGGTTTACCGTTCTTAAAAATGGTGATTTTCCATGGCGAACTGTTAAATAGTGAATTTTCAATTGTTAACTACCACTTGTATTACAGTAACCCTAATGGCCTTAATTAAACATAGTTAATGAATAACTAATTACCCGTAGACCTTGCATGGTCAATAACGTCAATAACATAGTTAACCCTAGTTGTGGTAGTTTTCACAACCCAGTTGTATTGACATCTAATGTCCTTAAGCTGCAACCATGGCTGTGGCTAGGGACGGCAGGCACGAGATCAGCGACCCAGCACCACTCTGCAGTTTCACGTTGCTCGACTCAGGGGGCGCCAGCAGATCCGTACACGTGTCCATCACCTGGGCTTCGGTCGTTTTGGGAGCAGCAACAGGTCCCACAGCTTCAGACTGACTGGGGGTTTTGGGCAACCTCTGCGTGGGAGGGTTGGAAAAAGGATGAAAAAGGAACTTGGGGACCTGGAATTTTTAAGCCAAGGACCATCCGAAACAGAGAAATCGCCCAGCTCTCAAGTGATATCTCCCTTCCTAATACGATTGAAGTTGGCCATAAAGTTGGATCCTGAAAACAGGTCTGTAGGAATGCAGCATACCTCCCTGAGCGTCTAAGTACCTCATGTCAACATCTGATAGTGTTCACCCATCCCAAAAATGTTGCTGTTGACTTTTTTGAATCATCCCAACGAGTGTGTCTTCTTGAAACCACCGAACAGATCGTATCCCCAGTTGGTAAAATACAAGAAATTGAATTCCATGGGTATGGGTCAAAATTGGACACCCTTAAAAAGAGGATGCTTAATTGTAAAATACATTGAAATACCACAATCTGCAGGCCCCCTAAGCCTTCGATTTTCACCCATAACCTGCGTCCCCCTGGCTAACCCCGTACCCCAGCAGCCCGCCTCCACCATGGAAATCTCTAGCGGTTCTTCGGGTGATTCCTTGTTCAGCAACTTCCGTCCTTGGCTGCGGCCTGGTTTTTACATCAAAAAAACGCTCGTTTTGGATGGTGATGCTCCAACCTGGGTGTGTCTTAAAAGGCGGTACCCCCCAATTTTTCATGAGGTTCAAAAATGTTGGAAACCATTTGGGTATTGAGATTTATTTTTGGGGGGTGCCCCAGCGGATCGTAAGTTTTGAAGCTGGACCACCCAAATGGATCGTATGTTCGAGTGGTGAACCGTCTACAAATCAGGGTTTTTTCAGTTTTTCTGTTGCCGTTGTGGGGATTGTGTATCATATTCCACTTGATGATAGCATTCTTAACGCATCAGTCTTTTTGAGAGGATCCGGACTGGAAAAAAGTACAGCAAGGATGGGCACACCTAGCCTCCAAGTTTTGCTGGGTATTTATACCATTTTTGGACCGTTGAATCCCATGGTTCCCTTAAGCCTCAGAGGAAATTTTGACCCTGAAGCTTCACAGCAAGCATCCAACAGTATGCTGCAATTTTTGCTGCCAGAAGGTCTTCCCCACTCCAGTAGCACCGTAGGAAATGGCCGCTGCATGCCACACTTCAGCCGCTTCAGCATCTGGTCTCGATTCGTTGAGGAGGAGAGAAACCACGCAGTCCAAGTCAAAAGCACGACATTTGCCTTTCACTTCCTTGGCAGAGGGGTACTTGGATACGGATCCGATTTGTATCACCCCCGAAACATGGAAATATAATTAATATGATCCTATTTCTGAATGGCAAATAACCAAATTCATAGCCATCATTTTGATTCATTTTGGGGATGTTTGGTAAACAATCCCCTACCTGGCACCATCCATTCCCCGTTGGTGGACATGGACCTCCCCTGGCCAAAGCATCGAGCGAACACACCCAAAAACACCCCCAAAGATCAACGAGAACCCTTCGCCCTTCGCTACACATTCGGGAAAACAATCCATTGTTGGGTTACCGTCCATTTTTTGAACATAACTTGTGGCTGCCACACACACAAGACTTGCAGTGCAACCTCTCAGAGCTGCTGAGCTTCTAAGGATCCCAAAGGTTCCCCAAACCTCTGCCGTTCCTGCACCAAATGCAGCTTTCCCTCACTGAGCAGCACAGAGGACATGACCAATGCGCCACCATCGTCAACGTGCATGGGACCCACCTGGGAACGCGGCCAGGATCACCCCAAAACGGCTTGATGAACCCTGGGGTTTGCCTTTCGTGTCCTTCCCGGTGCACAAAACGGAGAAGTTGGTGGATTTTAGCAGCAAAACCAAGGGGGTGCTTTTGTTTAGCGCTGGGAACCTTCCAAGGAATGATTCAGTATAGAGGATTTTCCTGCTTCTGGAGCGCCACAAAAGTGGGATCCAACATGTTCCAACCAATGAATCTAAATCTCTGAACAGAACTCCATCTTCCTTGGAAACTGGCCGCAAATTTATTCAACCACAACTCTGCGCACCTTGGCCACATCTTCGGGCAAGGCTTCCGCAAAAACATGAACTCTGGACTCAGCATCATCAGCATTGGTTGAAGAAGTCAAGGTTCCTGGACGGCTCCAAACCCCCTGGGTCTGGGCTTTCCACCTGGCATTTTGGCACGCCTGACCAACCAAAACCATATCAGAAACATCCGCACATCATTGCCCATCATTGCCATTTTGGCCCCTGTTTCCACCCAAAATCATTCATCCCACCCCCTCCACCCACACCTTGCAGTGCCTTCAAGGACCTTTCCGCCGCCCTCATCCGTTCCGCCGGCTCCATCCGCCCCGGGCCCCGCAGAGGTCGCGCCGCAGCGCCCACGTCCACCAGCTCTCCACCCAGCCGCACCGGCGCTGCCTCCGCCGCCGCCGCGGTGGCCGCGGCCGCGTCCAGGAAATCGAACTTGCGGCGGCGGTCCATGCCGGCGCTAGCCATGATGTCCCAAGCTTCGGTGCCGGAGGTCAAACTTGGGAACAGCTTGGTATCCGAAAAGTAGGGACGATTCACTGTTTGATCTTGTTTGATGTGGCTTTGCGATACTTTTGTGAGGGCTGGATTCCCCCAAACAGGGGTTCTGAGAATGGGGATGATTGCTTTCTCAATATTTACCAACGATTTCTGCTCAAAAGCCCATTCCAGTGGACGAAATCTATGGGGTGCGCCATGATGCCCCATGCTTTCAGTGGCCCAATATCAAATCTCGTCGTTCCATCACAGGGCTCAACCTGAGCCAAAGGCTCATCTTGAAGCAGATACCTGGATGGTCCCTGAAATCTATTGGAAGTAAAAACCAATGTCATGCCCGGTAGGAACCTGCTCTTCCAACCCACGGTTCTTGATTTCTTTCCGGATTCCATGCGTTCCGTTTCAGGGGCGCATGCACCCAGGCTGCTTGGGGCTGTCGTCCTGCCAACCTCGAAAGATGCTAGAAACGCCATGTTCGGTACTTGCTGGAGGGGCTATCGCCTGGCATACCTTTCAACCCGACCGCAATCCTCGACTCCAGATTTTTTCCCCGGCTCTCCCTGGCGCACAGTTTCCGCCCCGGGGCGGGTCGGTCGCAACTGTTTGGTGCGTCACCATGGTGAAACAGATCAGATTGACACTTCCGAACGCCTGGAGAATTCCATCCTGGGTGATTTGGGGTCCAATTTTTACGTAGCGCCCAGGAATTTTCCCCATGGTCTATATTGCTTGTGGACAATTCATCGATGATTGAAAATGCTTGAGAATGGCAATGCTTAATGCCGACAGATGGACACCTTTGACTGTTGTACCAGAGTGTTTCATGGTAAAATTCCTCTACCAATCATGGCCAGCCTCAGATTACCCTCTGGTGAACTAACAGTTTGCTATTGAAGCCATGGCCATAGAAATAGTGGATTTTCCCATGAAAAATGGTGATTTTCCATAGCTTTTTGTATGTTTACCAGAGGGTATCAAAAAAAAACTTTAGCGAGTCAGGTTTACATATCTCCATAAAAATGACAAGACTAGCTGGTACTAAACTACTGATCATCACCAGTCGGTTTTCCCAGATGTCTGGCTAAATCCTATAGGTTGGTTGATTCAACAATCCCATTTTTTAATGGTTATCCGTTACCTCCAACCTACATCCCACTATACCCCTACTAGATCCCTATCAAAGTCCTATAAACTAGTCGGGGTTTGTGAAACGACTCAAAGCTCCTTTACTTTCTATTAATCTAAGATAATCTAAGTTTCAATTCAAGTTTCATCTGCGTAAGTATGTCCATGATGTTCCATGGCACTGGTGGACCCCATCATGGCTGTCACATCATTCACCCTCTGCTCTCATGGCTTCCTCATGGCTGGGAATTGAGGGAAGGGATGGCGCAGCCAAGGATGGCTGAAGGATGAAAAATTCTCGGTTTTTTGTGGAAGTATCTGGTGGAACTTCGAAATATCCATCTATCTATTTATCTATATATATACATATATATATACTTGAATTTCAACCATTGGGCCAGATGTTATGTTCAAATTCCTTTCTCTAGTTCAAACATGTGTATATATATAATAATATATATATATAATATAATATATATATAATATTATATATATAATATTATATATATATGTTCAACTGAAGTCAACTGTCTTTTTGATGTTCAACCATCTTTTCACTCCGTAGGGTTCAAGGGAAGAGTCGCAAAAAAATGCCCTGTTGGATGACACCGGAGGGTCCGGAGGGTATCAACATGCCATGAAAACATGCCATGTATAAGATCATAAAAGGGTCATTTTCCCATAGCTTCTCAAAGTTTTGCCCCATAGTTTTTGTTCATAGATTTCCAGATGATTTCCATAGTTGTCCCATTGTTTTCCATATGTCTCCATATGTTTCCCTCGTTTTCCCGTAGTGTTCCCATCAGTTTTCAGTAGTTCTTCATATTTCCATAGTTTTCCATAAGTTGTCCCATTGTTTTCCATAGGTGTTCCCACAGTTTTCCCGTAGTTTTCCATAGGTTTTCCCAAAGTGTTCCTTAGGTTTTTCCCATAGTGTTCCATTGTTTTTTTGAGTCGTTTTTCATATCTCCATAGTTTTCCCATAGTTTTCCATTGTTTTCCATAGGTGTTCCCGTAGTTTTCCATAGCTTTTCCCAAACAAACCATCTTCAGATCACAACGGTCCTCTTTGGCTTTCCGCTCAGCTTCATCTACGAGTCTGGCCTCGTGCATGACCTGAGGTTCAATCACCCGAGATTGCGAAGTGGGTCAAAACAACCCTGGGGCATGAAAAAGGATGGGTTAACCAACCATCTCATGAAATTTAATGGGATTATGTATATATATATATATATGTATACACATGATTTTATAGTGTTTAACAGGACTTGATGGGATTTCATTGCTAGGACTGGAAGGATTTATGTTGAATAATGTTAATCTGTTGTTTCCCCCTCCAGACATGGCATTCTGAAATCTGTTTAACCCAGCTACCCTATCTATCTATCTATCTATCCATCCATCCATCCATCCATCCATCCATCTATGTGGGGTCTTGGGGGGGTTACCATATATATATATATAAATATATATATATGTGTGTCGCAGTGTGGCACCTGCTCCCCTTTTCTCCACGTGACAGTTTGCCCACATCATCCCCATCCGGTCCCCATCCGGCTGATCCCAAGCCACCCGCAAGCCAACCAACCGCAGCCTCAGGGCAGACCCATCCCTCGAGATCACTCGTGGTTGACCCCCTGGGATTGAGAACAATATGGCTATATATGTTGTGTATATTTATAATATGTATAAATATAGATCTATAAATATTACAAATATCTAATATAAATATTAGATATTATATGATATTATATAATTATATACATTGACACACTTACCCCCTGGGGCTTATTCCAGCGAGTCCATCCGTCATTTCTGTCCATGTTCACCAGGCTGTCTGACTGCGCGTGAGGCGCCAAATTTTTCTGCTCGTAGGCCGAGCGCGCCTACGACGTCGTAATCCCAGCTGGATTGGTTGGAGTTTACTCACAATACCCTCTGGTAACCTAACATAATATGGACAATCACCATTTTTAATGGGAAAACTCACTATAAATGGCCATGTTCAATAGCTATGTTAGTTTATCAGAGGGTAATTTAGATTTTTACCAACACAAGTTTTGATTTTTGTTTGTACAAGAGTACAAGGCTCGGATTTCAACAACATCATGCCAACAGTAAACCATAAACCCTGAGGAAACATAAGAAAATATAAGAAAATGGTAACTCAAGCCGCAAAAAATGGAAAGTTTACTAACAAGAACTATGGGGATTATATATATATATGTATATATACAGTATATATATATATATAGGTATAAGAAATGTGTAATCGAACCATACCCATCGATTGGGAAGAAATGAATAGATTCAAGACTCACATTCACCAGCGTTCCCCTGGGATGTGTATTGGGGATGGGTCCTATGGGTCCGATGTTGTGGGAGACGACAATCTGTCACGATCTCCCGAGCTTCTCGGGACAGCACTCCAATTCAAAAGGTCGCAAAAGGATGTGGTGATGGTGAATTGTCTAATATCAAAATAGGTTTAGCATGTTCTGGCTAGCCGCTATAGGTTTCAGGGAGAAAAAAACAACTGAGGAAGGCAAAAGAAACACAGCCACCAAAAAAGACTTGGGTTTAAAAATCACTACCGGGCTTCAGCTTATTAAAATTTATTAAACCTATCTTAGAATTCAAACCCAAATGTCGATTTGTCATACACAAAACCCATCCCAAGATCCTGGTGAGTTTAAAAATTCCAGTGATGGGTTAGTTCACAATTCCCTACTTCTACCCTCTGGTAAACTAACAGTTTGCTATTGAAAATGGCCATTTATACCATGTATATGTATAGTGAGTTGTCCCATTAAAAATGGTGATTTTCGATAGTTATGTAAACGTTTACCAGAGGGTACCCAATTGAGCCTTACTTTTACATCAACGGATGTATTTTTGGCCCGAAGACGAAGACGGCTCTTTCCCAGGTCCCTGAAGAAATCCCCAATCATTCGAGGCTGATCCAGCTGCACCTCATGTTGTGAAAGGACATGAAAAGATTCCATGATCAATGCCCAGTCAACCTGCCACATGGAGATGGCTCTGAAAAAGTGCGAAACAAAGATGAACTACATCTTAGTGCGGAACAAAGTCTGGAGATTCATCTTGGGACCCGTTGTAATAAATAGTGGTCGCTTTTCATGTCAGATTCCCAATGTTTTTCCCCACCTGCCAGGTGAGGGTTGTTAGATTTTATGTCAGTTGCCTCCTCCTCCTGCCGCCTCCTGCCTCCTGCCTCCTCCTCGTCCTCCTTGTCGTCCTTGTCGTCCTCGTCGTCCTCGTCGTCCTCGTCCAACTGCGACCCGCGATCCACAGTGTTCGCTGCCGGACCTCAACCACGACCATCCACGACCAGTGTTCCCTGCCGGACCTCAACCACGACCAGCCACGCCCAGTGTTCCCTGCCGGACCTCAACCACGACCAGCCACGCCCAGTGTTCCCTGCCGGACCTCAACCGCGAGTATCCATGAGTGTTCCCTGCCGGACCTCAACCGCGAGTATCCACGCCAAGTGTTCCCTGCCGGACCTCATGTAGGAAGATATGGGACAAAGAATGTGCAGAAGAAAGAAAGAATGTCAGAAAGAATGTCAGAAGATATGCCAGAAGATATGCCAGATAGAATGCCAAATAGAATGCCAGATAGAATGCCAGAAGATATGTCAGAATATATGCCAGAAGATATGCCAGATAGAATGCCAGATAATATGCCAGAAGATATGCCAGATAGAATGCCAGAAGATTTGCCAGATAGAATGCCAGAAAATATGCCAGAAGATATGCCAGATAGATATGCCAGATAGAATGCCAGATTGAATGCCAGAAGATATGTCAGATAGAGTGCCA